TCCCCACCTGGACTAACTATAGTTATGCTGCTTTGGCACTGTACTGTATAACAGCAGTGACTTAGCTTTCATTTTACTGTTTATGATTGTAAAAAACTGAATAATGTGCCTGTTTTCGGGTGTTCTTTGCAGACTAAGATAATCTGTGTTTAATTTCACCTCTCTTTTGAGATGATCTGTATTTCAGGCCACTCAGTGTTTTGCCTTCCCAGTCTCTCAAGCAGCACTATTTTTAATCCCACAGCCTATTGAACTGGCATTGGCTGCAGTTTCACAGTTTAACCTAGAATGGATTTTTTAATAGCCGTGGGATTATTTCTGTCATCTATTAAATGAGTCTTATAGATAAATCTCCCTTTCTCAACAGAATGGGGATGTGTACAGTGTACCATTATCAAAAAGACAATGTTCACAGCAGTTTCATTAACAACAATACATCCTTATCCTAAACTTACTTTTACCTTTTACTCAGTTGGATGTTCTATTGAAGGAACGGGTGCTGCTAATTACAGTTTATAGGGAGATAGGATTGTGGAAACTAAACACCAAAAACAAAGAACCCTATCTTTATTTAATCATCCCATTTCTTTTTAAACCTGTACTGTAAGACATGATTATTTCTTTTGTTTTGACAACAGTTATCAATGATGGTATCCTTTGGAGAATCAGGTAGAGTTAATTTTAGGTACTTAAGGCCAAAGTTGATCTTAGTGCCACTGCATAAGCTTTGTTATGTGCTGTACTTCATTAGGAAACTATTAAGGTTATGCTTTTTTCAGTGCTTGACATCTTCCAGAGGCTGTTTTCTGTAGAGAAGATGTGGAAAGCTAGATGTTGTTTGGTTTTTCACAACTAAATTTACACCTCTCATCAATTGCAGTGTAGATCATGTACCTTCTGATATTAGATATACAAATAGGTGTTCTTCATGTCCAGAACTTCTATGACAAAGCCAGCTCTCTGTGTTTTATAGTACATTATCATTCACAATGCAGTCGCACTCTGCATTGCACATACTTTCTGCTCTGTGACTAAGCCTGAGGGCTAATGGTGTTCAATGCTGTCACCCAGGACTTCAAGGGAGAGGCCTACCAGCTTCAGATTGAGATGGAGAGGTTGAATCACCAGGCTGAGATCCTGCTGAAGAAAGTTGCTGAGGAGAGTGACAAGTGCACCATCCAGGAGCCCCTAACTGAACTTAAAATGCTGTGGGACAACCTTGATGAGAAAATTATCAACAGACAGGTAGGACTGGATAAAAGGTTGTTAATAAAACTCCACATCTGTTTTCATGTGTTTAAAGTATATTTGTATTTCAGCAAAGTAATTCTTTAAATGGTGGTGCTGTATTTTAAAGCAGTCTACATTCTGTTTCTGTGAGTAGTAAGGTAAAACACTTTGATTTCATTTACCCTTGATCTCCTGTCTTTAGGCAAAGTCGCTGGTACTGTGGCTTAAAGGGTAATGGAACCATTACAGCTGATGACACCATTTTTTGATATGTGTGCGTGCTTTCCATTTAAAAAATACAGTGCCACTTCCTTTTTGTTAAAAAAGTTTGCAAGAAAAATGTTGGTTTTCTGTCATTATTTTGGTGATTGTACGGATGTTGAAGTCCAGTTGAGCTCCTCATGCTCTGTCTCTTTGCAGCACAAGCTGGAGGGGGCGCTGCTGGCCCTGGGGCAGTTCCAGCATGCCCTGGATGAGCTGCTGGCCTGGCTGACCCACACCGAGGAGCTGCTGAATGAGCAGAGGAAGGCGGGGGGCGATCCCAAGGCCATTGAAATCCAGCTCGCCAAGCACCACGTACGTCTGGCATCTGTTGCTCATCTGTTTTGTATAGTAATGTCTACAGGTAGAATTAAATTAGAGACATGAGATCCTGATTTTTTTCACAGACGCTACAAGTACATGTGCCTGAACCTATTTATGGGGTGTTGTTATCTGCTTAGAAGTTGAGAAGAGTATTTTAGTTTGAGAGAAGATTTAAGAGAAGCCTTTTCCACATTTTGGACCTAATACTGCTATTACTTGGCCAGACTGTCTTATTAAAACTGTCCAGCCATGATGTTGCCTACTTTTTTTATCTTGTCTTATCACATGAGACACTTCATAAAATCATTTAGGCACAATAGCTCTCCCCGTCTGAGGATTGAGACAGAAAGGGCCAGGGAAGTCATTGTGCCTGAATGAGTCTTGCTGTGCCAAGGAAATTATTACCCAGTGTCCATCACTTCAGTCTGCAGGGAACATGCTAGGTTCCAATGAGCAATGATTGACGTGGCATCTCCGTGTGTTTTAACTACCTATGAAAGCACTAAAAAGCCAAGACAGATCACAGCTGTGGTCACCATATCCTAAAAAACATTCTATGATCACACCGGATGTAGGGACTTTAGCTGTAATTAAACCAGTGTGACTTTTTCTGCTCTCCACATTCCGTATTGTAGTGATTTAAAGCTCTTTTGTTTTACTTTATCTTATTAAACGTGTTTAACCCAAAGGCTGTAACAGGAAAAACTCATAGGATAAAGACATAAAGTGGAACAAATAAACTACGGAAATGGCAGGACACTGATGTGACCTTTTGAAGGCTCAGGAGCTGAGTGCAGGCAAGGAGCTCTGTGTCTTTGCAGATACGGAGCTCAGGGTGATAGAAGGAAGGTGAAAGCCATTAAGTCCTGTTCAGGTTTCATTAAGTATTCCACATCTGATTGCAGGTGGCTATAATTAGAGTTTTCCTTTTTTTCGTTTGCTTGTTCTGTCTCTCATTCTCATTTGATGTGTCTCTCTAGACTGATTTTTCAGCACTTGCTTTACTACTTTTGGCCTGTCTTGCATTAGCTAAACAGTTTGCAAATGGTGGGGGCAGGGGTGGTGGGCTGTGTTGTGCAGATGGTGGTGAGCATGGTGCCGACACTGCCAAGGCCCAGGGTTTTCTTCAGGTTGTTCTTGCTCTGCTCATGATAAGGACGGACCTGGGCAGCCCAAATTACCATGCACCCATAAGCACACGATCTAGGGCCTCTCTCGGCCAAGAGCTCTATCATCATTCTTGCTAATCTTTGGTTAACAAATGGAAATCTTTATCCATTAAAGTCAAGAAAGAGGCTCCCCAGGGTGTGGAGCCACATGCTGTTCACTTTATTGTGTTTTGTTTCCTCAAAGTTCTATTTGTACTCATTTGTGTTAATGAAGGTGCTCCAAAATGATGTACTTGCCCATAAGACCACAGTGGAGGCGGTAAACAAAGCAGGAAATGACCTCATAGAGTCCAGCGCAGGAGAAGAAGCCAGCAGCCTCCAGAGTAAGCTGGAAAACCTGAACCAGAGGTGGCAGGCCATTCTTGAGAAAACAGAGCAGAGGAGGCAACATCTGGACAATGCTCTGCTCCAGGTAACTGCCAAGAGAAAATACTTTCTTTACATTGTCACAGCACAGTGGGATCGGGGAAAATGGGATTGACAAAAGAAAATGAATCGGTATTTTGAGGTGCTGTTATTCTGAAAATAGCAAACAGCTAACAGCTGCCAGCAAACAGTACCACCCCTAACACCCCTGTCAGCAATTCTGACATTCTCTTGTGTGTTTTCTGAAATAATGTGGCTAGGTTGCATAAAAACCACAAATGTATCTTAGTTGTTTTATTTTAACAGTGCTTTTCTCAGCCTGAAATGTGTCTGGTAAGTGGTAAATTATAGCAGAAGTAATAAAGATCTTATCATTTCAACAGTACCTGTTGCTCCCACAGATCATGAGACAGGATGAAATCTGCATTTAGAAACTTTCAGCTTTCACAGCAACTCTCAATGCCAAACTATAAACAAGTGCTAAAATGTATTATTCCTCACCATGTTATCGGTGCTGAAAGGCGATTATACAAAAGAATACCTTTGAAAAGCTATAAAATTATATAAATCTGTAATTACTGAAATGTTAACAAAAATACAGAATCCAAATCAATATTTAGGTAATCTTTCAAAAACACATCAACTACAGTGCAGAACACAAAACTTTATATGCCCAGAAATGTGACAATATTTTTTCATTGTTTCTGGAAAGCCCTCAAACTAGTCTGGCATTCATTCAAATATCACATTGAATTAAGGCCTAATGTTTGGAGACTTAAGTAATTTTAATGATGTAAACTGTGAATATCACAAAGCTGAAAATCTAAAATGATGTAATTTCATTCCACTCATTTACAAAAATTCCAAGAAATCATTTTTGTAAAAATTCCAGTTATCTATGCTAGTGATAGTAGTGTTTGGATTCTTTGTGCGTTTATTATTTTTTTTTTCAGTGGATTACAAGTTAAGACTAACTTACTAGAGTTACTAGCTTGGAAACTTACTGCTTTAACCCACACATTTCCACTACAATGTGCCCATCTTTCTTGTTAACGGACGAGCTGCTATGCTTTGTGTGCCTCAGGCTCAAGGTTTCCATGGTGAGATTGAGGATATGCAGCAGTGGCTGAAAGACACAGAGCGTCAGCTGTTAGCATCAAAGGCTGTTGGAGGTTTACCAGAAACAGCCAGGGAGCAGCTTAATGTCCATCTGGTATGTATTTAAGAATAACAAAGGCCTGATACAGATGGTGTACTTGTAAAGACTGTGGAGGCTTTTCAGATTTTTGAAGTGTGAAAAGTAAATGACATTGGGAAATTGCTTACAATTAGGCCAGGTTAAGAACATAGGAGTGTTTCAAGTTGATTACCACTGTTCCCAGTAAACAATTGAAAGAGTGTTCCTAGTCTTCCCAGAATGCTAGTGGGAAAATGACACAGTTGTTACAGACACAATAATTGTTACGTTTTCCCTCTGGAGCTCCATTTAGTGTGCACATTCAGCATGCAGGCATGACTGTTGTCTGAAATGATCAAATTATCAAATTTTTCCATGTGATGTTGTGCATTCTACCAAACTTTGAAGACAGCATGGAAAAATAACGAGCTACAGTGAGCATTTCTCTGTAGCTTTTAGATTTGTCAGTGTTCTTCGATACAATGAGTCATTACATTTATTGTTCTGATTCACTATAGGCAGCTTTTACCACAATGACTGATGTAAACTGATCCAGTGTATTCTGTAATTGTATTAATCTTGCTCCCACAAAATGGGTCCTTGTAAAAATGCATAGTTTAATATGCAGTGTACACGTGGCCAAGTAGGAAAACGTGCATATCCTTTGATTTCTTTTGATTTAGGAGCTGTGCAGTGTTTTCGAGGCCAAAGAAGAACTGTGCAGTCAGCTGATGCAGAGAGGACAACATTTGCTCACAATCGTTCATGAGGGACATGATTCGAATACAGAGCAAGACCTCAGGAACCTGAAGGAGAAATGGGAATCAGTGCAGACAAAAATGACTGAAAGAAAGGTAAAGCCTATTGTTGAACACATTAAAGACATTACTGATAATACTGTAAGTGTCATAAAGAGAAACAGGGGACAAGGGTGAGTCTGCTTGTTTCCATGTGATAGATCTTTATGAATGTCTGCAGTATGTGTTATTTATATTTTTTTACTATAGTTGTTTGGTCAAACTTAAACATCCATCCATTGTAGTAACATCAGGAACACTGGTGTAGACCAGCATGCTCTGCTCAGCCTTTTGTAAGATGATATATCAAAGAACAAGAGAGTACAGAGTCAATGGCCAGGAGTCTGACAGTGCAGATTCAATGGCCAGGAGTCCGACAGTGCAGAGTCAGTGTGCAGGAGTCTGACAGTGCAGAGTCTGACAGTGCAGAGTTAGTGTGCAGGAGTCTGACAGTGCAGAGTTAGTGTGCAGGAGTCTGACAGTGCAGAGTTAGTGTGCAGGAGTCTGACAGTGCAGAGCCAGTGAACAGGAGTCTGACAGTGCAGAGTCAGTGAACAGGAGTCTGACAGTGCAGAGTCTGACAGTGCAAAGTCAGTGTGCAGGAGTCTGACAGTGCAGTCAGTGTGCAGGAGTCTGACAGTGCAGAGTTAGTGAGCAGGAGTCTGACAGTGCAGAGTCAGTGGGCAGGAGTGTGACGGGACTTTGGAGCTTATAACAGTTTGTGTTTAATGCAAAATTAATAAAAGAATTGTTGACACATTAGCTACAGTATATTTTTCTCAATTTGTTGATTTGATTTCTATGGTGGAGTTCGCCACGTCTTGGGTCTGAGAAAGGGTCTGACTTAGGTACATTAATGATCCTGATGCTAATGGTTTCTATGAATGAACTATATGCACAGTGTGAACATTTCCTCTAATGGTATTTGACCTTTGTGAGGGGGTATTTTGTCAGGAAGGGCCTATTTAGTTAAAGGACAAGGGTCTAGTTTGTGTCTCCTTACTGCTGCTGAGGCAATACAGATGTTCGAACTGGAGTTGTCCTTGTCCTGGAAACCCCTTTAACAGCCTGCCATTTCCTGCGTGTTCTGCATTTTTCTGATTTTATTTCTGTTTTATTCATTTGTGGGGGGGATATCACCCCTCAGAGAAAAGCAGTTTATGTAACATCTGAATACTTTAATTGAAAACTTTATCAAATCTCTCGGCATGCAGAACGCAGTGTCGTCAGTATTTGAACCAGTTGTCAGTGGTTAATTAAATCCCCTTCTGTCTTTGCTGCAGGCTAAACTGGAGGAAGCACTAGCCCTGGCCACAGAGTTCCACAACTCACTGCAGGACTTCATCAACTGGCTGACTCAGGCAGAGCAGACTCTCACCATGGCCTCCCCCGCTAGCCTGATTCTGGAAACCATCATGTTCCAGATTGACGAGCACAAGGTACGCCAGAACACCAGAACATGACGGACTCACACCTATCTGTCTTCACAAACTGTGCCTGTTTCATATGAGAGAAACACCAGCTTTGAGACTGGGGCTGAGCTTTTAGATGGTACCTGTTACTCCCTGGACACTCCTTGCTGAATTATTGAAAATGAGGAAGCAATCTTTAACTACAGATAAAGCTCTCAAAGGCTTACACGTTTACTTTACACCCTCTATCCTGTTTAAAATATCCCTTTCTTTCCTTGCAACCTCCACTAGTTGGGTGTGTTTTAGATTCAATTAGTCACACCTTTGGTGTGATTCATCAAATTATTTTCTTTAGAAAAGTTTCTTCTTTCAAAGGAAGACCCTGAAGGCACACATTTTAGGACTCAATAACAAAGTTTATTCCAGTAAATTGCCGAAATGTTCCATTATTTATTGCAATAACAGCAGAAAACAGCAAAATGTTTTAAACAGATGTATCATTTACAGAGTATATTTATGTAGAATATACATGTAGAGTATATTTGAACGAACCGTACTGCTGCTGTGCTTTGTGTAGTTAATCAACTCAATGATTTATTTAAATTTCCATGAATGATGATTAATTCCCTCTTTCAAGTGACTTGGCAGTGAAGTAATTTGTCGCAAGACAGGAAGTACTTTAGTGGGTTTATCAGATTTTGCTTGTGTAATTGTATATGATACTGTCAAGTCCACATATTTCATTGGATTTTTATTTGAATCTCAGGTGTTTGTAACAGAGGTGAATTCACACCGTGAGCAGATCATTGAGCTGGACAAAACCGGAACACACTTGAAGTATTTCAGCCAGAAGCAAGACGTTGTCCTTATTAAAAACCTGTTAATTAGCGTACAGAGTCGGTGGGAGAAGGTTGTCCAGAGATCAGTGGAGAGGGGGCGAATTCTGGATGATTCCAGAAAGCGTGCCAAGCAGGTAATTACACACACTTTAAGAGGAGTTTGTGAAAGTTCATGGGATTTTCCAGAATGGGATTTTACCTTCATATTTTGTTTACAGCATAGAGTCTTGTCTGTATAGATTTTATGTAAGTAATATTACTCCTGCAGAATAAAACATTTGTGTAGTCGTGTGCGCAAATGCAATTAACATTTTGACATCCTTCACTCTCCCAGTTCCATGAAGCCTGGAACAAGCTGACTGAGTGGTTGGAGGAATCCGAAAAGGCTTTAGATTCTGAACTGGAAATAGCAAATGATCCAGGCAAGATTAAGATGCAACTGGCACAGCATAAGGTAATATAATTAATGAAATGCATCCTATTCAAGGAGCCAAGATGATGTTCTACAAATCAAAGGCTTGAAGAATGTGTAGAAGTCATCTGCTTTTGCTAAAATGTACTGCATGGCAGTAATCAGGGCCATAAATTACCACTTCGTCTTCAGCCAGCATATATTATATCTAAATCATTGTGCCGTGCCTTTTCAAAGCACACTTCAACTGTGATTAACATTCTCAGAATCAATCCATCTACTTAATGATGGATAGTTTAGTGTGAACAACAGATTTGCTGCAGGTTCTGTTGTATAAGGCCAATCACAGGTATTCAGGTTTTAATATTCATCCCTCCTTACCCTTCCAGTCAGAGGGCTTTTCTTGGTCTCCTTATGATTCTTGGATACATTAGTACCTGAGTTTGGATACTTCTGTTCCTGAAGCGTGATCTGAAAAAAAAGGTGTTTTTCTCAGAAGATGAAGTTCTTCCTGAAGTTCTGAACAGAAGTTATTTTGTTATTTTCCTGGAAAAATGCAGGAGTTTCAGAAAGCCCTGGGGGGCAAACATTCAGTGTATGACACCACCATCAGGACTGGACGTGCTCTGAAGGAGAAGACCTGCCTGCATGACGACAACCAGAAACTGGACGACATGCTGAGCGAGCTGAGAGACAAATGGGACACAGTGTGTGGGAAATCTGTGGAAAGGTATGCCAGCACGAATTTCTCAGTTAAGTTCCAGCTGAGCTGTGAATGTGTGTGCAAAGTGAGAATATACCTGGCATTTAAGATGTTTGCTTATTTGCAAGGCTGCTGGTCTCCTAAAGGCAGAAAAACTATTATGACCAAATTTTATTAAATTACATAATTACATAATTATGTTATGTTAATTGTATTATTGTAATGATCTATCAGTGTTAAAAGAAACAATGCCCTTAGAAATGAGAAATTTCCTGCAAAGATTGGTTATCTTGTAGAGCCACAGAATTGCACAATTTAATAATGTTGAAAATGCTGCTCTGATAGTGTTAAACTATCGACTGTACCAGGCACCGTCTCTTACTGAACATAGTAATGATGTGTCATGATCATCTGAATCTTATCTCTCTGCCCTCAGAAAAGCGTCTTCCTGTCTTTATTGCTCTTCTGGTGGATGTTGGACTACCCAAGGCTTCTTTCATTGCAGAGAGCTGTTACAGCTTCAGTTATACACTCTACAGGACAGACTGACCAAGTTCTTGAATTTCCTTTCATTTCAGGCAGAACAAACTGGAGGAAGCTCTGTTGTTCTCAGGGCAGTTTACTGATGCGCTGCAGGCTCTCATTGACTGGCTTTACAAGGTGGAGCCCCAGCTAGCTGAAGACCAGCCAGTTCATGGAGATATAGACCTTGTACTGAATCTGATCGACAATCACAAGGTATGTGCTGTTTGAGAAGTCTTGTGAAACAGCTGGAGAACTCCGGTGTCCACAGGCATATTTTCATCCAGCCCTATATACAGTGGAGCTGTGGTAACTCAGACGGCAAGGACATCTAGCTCCTGACCGGAAGGTCCCGGGTTCAATCCCAGGTAGGGGCAAGCAATGGAGCTTGCTCTAATTCCTTCCTGATGGATCCCAGGTCCACTGCTGACCACATCACCTCCACCTGGTTAAGAAAAATGGTGGTCCTTGCCCCCCATTCCCCCATGGGCCTTTATGGCCTGAAAAGGGACCTACCCACCTATATACAGTATTAACTACTTCAACAGGTCAAAAAATGTTTAGGATTTTGACTTTTTAATAATAACTACTTAGATTGCCTTTCAATGTAATATGAGGAAGCTCATAAGAAAGTTAACAAATGCAAGGATGTTCAGCCCATCTTGTCTATTTCATTAATTTCATGATTCGACGTCTGTTCAGTACGGTAGAGTATAGTGTAGTAGATGTGACTGCCTGAGAGAGTGTATTCAGCTGTTTCCATCTCTGCACTTCACAGTGCACGGCACACAGACCCTGTACGGCTGAAGATGCCTCGTGTGAGCGCTGTTGAGGTCTGAAAGGGTTGAGCGCAGTACTCGTGTCCAGCAGCTCTCTTCCTTGCTGCTGCCGCTGCTCGATTCCCCCTGAACACCGTCCTGTTCTGCCGACTGCCAGACAGTCGTGCTCCGCCCTGCTAGTGCCTGTTGTAGCAAGTCTCGGACACGTTTTCTGTGGGGGTCGGCTGAATCCAGGTTTCTAACACAAACTCTGCGGGCTGCGTACAGGAGCTCCTGGGCGTTCCTGTTGTGTTGTATGCAGTAGGTGCCCAGGACCCCTGAGTGCAGCTTTGATGAAATAGGCTTCAGCTGTTTCACCAAAAACTATCAGTTCATACTGTATTATGTTTACAGTACTTGTAAATTGTACATTTTGTTTTAATATGCACAGTATCAGGTACTGGTAATTACTTCCATAAAATTTAATTGATTTTTTGGTGCTTTTTAAACATAAATGTGAAGAGTGGATTTGAGCAGATTTTTTATTGTGGTTAACAAAGTGGTGGTTCAAATGGGGAATGACGTTGGCTGTTAATGGAACAGTGCAGCTGTGACAGAGCGCTGAGTCACTACACAGAAGTGGGCCCTGGGGGATTCTCAGATTGACCCCCAGCTCCGTCTCCCCCTCTGAAGCAAACGACATTACCAAATCAGGCCTGTTCCTGTCCAGAGGTGAAGCTCAGTGCTCAGAGGAATTGGCGCCTGGCAGTAATACTTGACTTCATTAACCTAAGCAATCCGGGAGGACTGGTGCAGTGAAGAGCTGTAATGCTTTTTTTCTTCGTCTGGGATCGTAGGTCTTCCAGAAGGAGCTGGGGAAGAGAACCGGCAGTGTCCAGGCTCTGAAACGCTCGGCCAGGGAGCTGATTGAGAGCAGCCATGATGACTCCTCTTGGGTCAAAGTTCAGATGCAGGAGCTGAGCACCCGCTGGGAGACTGTGTGTGCCCTCTCTGTGTCCAAACAGACCCGGCTGGAGCAGGCTCTCTGTCAGGTACACTCCCAGAGGAGCAGGACACATATGGTTGTTGGTTGGTAATTGATCCAAGACATTAGTTAATGCATTTGGCCATTTCTTGAAGGAAGCAGAACATTGGCTTCAGCAACATGGCAGGGTGACTTGTTCCAGAATTTTTTATTGTTAATTTAAAAGACAAGGTCAGTGATTTTGCATAATTTTCCTTGTAAAGCACTAATGGGCCATCAAGAACTGTAACTTATGTGCAGCTTTTAAAATTAAATACATAAATACAATGTTACAGAGTTTTTAAAAATCTCAATTTTTTTCAGCCCAACCCCACCACATCACCCCAGGACATGCTCATAAGTCCATTGTTCTCTGGGAATCCATTTTAATTTTGCTCTCATTTATTATTATACACATTTATTCTTCTTACTTATTGTTCTAGTCGTTGTATTTAATGCATCTAATGAATAAATTTGCAGTGTGCTTTCTGTTTAACCAGATGGTACCTGCAGGACAGCAATAACAACATCACTAACTGCAGTTTGTTCAATACTTAGGACAAATGAGCAGACAACCACCAGGAGCAGAGAGCACTAGGGTGAAAGGGCATGTTATCCTTCCAGATGACTGCAGATGATGGAAGCAATGGATTTATCATTTACTAATCTTATTATCTCATATGCTCAGATCTAGCCGTGTTCATTTAATTCAGGGCGCTGTCAGAATGATAATATTAGCTTGCTTGGCACAAGCTAACGTACCATGAAACAGGCTAAATTCCGAGCTCATGCAGCTTTATGTTTACCAGAGTCTACCCTATCGACACCCTTTCAGGTATTGGCTCTGCAGCTTGCCTTTGTGAGTGAAATTGCTGACATAAAACTGGCCGTATTCATAAAGTTAGATGTTTTAGGGGCAAAGCAACTTCTACAGAGTTCACCGTAGACATACGAATTTGACTGCAGTTTGTTTATGTAAAACAGAAAGAGCTGTTGGGATTTATGAAATGATATCTGTGACATCAGCTGTGTTATTGGGCTGTTTGTTTTCGCCTGACGCATGCAGCGGTGTATGTTCCAGTGAGAAGAAAGCTGGGTATGTCTCAGTGTCCCAGTATCTCCTTGCAGGCAGAGGAATTCCACTCCACTGTGCATATTTTGCTGGAGTGGCTGGCTGAGGCTGAACAGAGCCTGCGTTTCCATGGCACCCTCCCAGATGATGAAGAGGCACTTCGCACACTTATAGATCAACACAAGGTGAGCATGATAACACAGAGACAGCCATGGCTTAAACAGCTTAACATATGGTGCTAAACCGAACCTGGCGCAGGAGCCACATGAATTAAAAGAGGTAAAATGAGGAGGGTCCAGGGTGTCATTTATTATTTTATTGCAAGTTGTTTCCTTTATCGGTTCCGTGTTTTCAGCAGACAAATGTGCTGTATGTGGTAAGGCTTTCTTCTGTTAATTAATGCATCATGGATATTTCAACTGTCCATTTCTCTGCGGATCTGTTAGCTTGCCAGTTGAAACTAAAAATCTTTGCAGATTGCCATACATGGCTTTTTCGGGGAGTTCAATGTGTTGTTTGCCAAAGTCAGACTCTTACCAAAATATTAAATTTCCTGTACTTATGATCTAATATTTGAAGTGAGAACGCTCTTTTGACCATCATGTATTATTCATTATACAGATTTTATTTTCAAATAATTAAACATCGTCTTGCCAGAAAAGCTTTGTAGGCCGATGATCTCAGACTCCTTGACTTCAGTTCAGATATTGCCAGTCATTAACAGAAAATATTTCAATTGTATTTCAGGAGTTCATGAAGAAGCTAGAAGAGAAGAGAGTTGCTCTGACTAAAGCAATGGGCATGGGCGAAGCAATTCTCACCATCTGCCATCCAGACTCAATCACCACAATTAAACACTGGAACACGATCATTAAAGCTCGCTTTGAGGAGGTCGGTATACCATCTTGATTTAGACAGAATGACTTAGACTCTGTCTCTTAATAAATCAAAGTTAATAGGGATTTTCACTTTGAACTGCTGCAAATGTTTATAAAACAGTGAACAGCAGGTTTGTATGGAGTGAAAAACACAGCAGCATAACGAAAGCACTTGCAAATTGTCAGAGTGGGGAAGAACTTTTCCCCACCATTTAGATCTGTATTTTTCCACAGCTTTCATCATGGGTTGTTTTTAAACCTTAATTCCGCTTCCTTTCTGTGTTTTAATTTTTTGTAATATTGAATCATTTTGATGTCAATCGAGGTATTTTACAGATTTGTTTTAAGAAACCTGCTTATAGTTTTTTTAATCCATGGCAAAGGCAAACAACTTTTCCAGGTTCTTAAAAAACTGTACACAAAACCTATCTCAACTTGCTCTACACAATCATCGACTGTGAAAGCATTAGTATTATTATTTAATTAGTAGGCCGCCTTATCCCAGAAAATGCATGTTTACCTAAATGCAATTCATCACTCATGCAAGTACAGTAAAATAATTACAATTACATGAAAGACTCAGGAAAATGACCCCAGAGACTCATGCCTTCAAGAGGTCATGAGTTCAAGAAATGTAACTTTTAATTAAAAATAATTGATTTATTAAGATAATAAATAATTGTCTTCAGCCTTAAATCTGCCAGATTTCATTCAAACATTTTTGGGAGAAAGTGTCCCTCATGCTCGCACCCTGTGCCGTTGTCTGGGGTTTTAGGTGCTTGCTTGGGCCAAACAGCACCAGCAGAGGTTGGGAAGTGCTCTCAGCGAGTTGCTCAGTAACCAGGAGCTGCTGGAGAACCTGCTCGGTTGGCTACAGTGGGCAGAGACCACCGTGAAAGAGAAGGACAAGGAGACGCTGCCGGAGGAGATCGAGGAAGTGAAAACACTGATTGCAGAGCACCAGGTTTGTTTCGTGCTGGATGGTGCGAGATGGTGGATTAGCAAGGTTACTTGGGCAGAAACTCGGACTGTTGCTGGACCTGTGGGTGCTGTAGAAGGTGCCAGCTTTCAGATGAGAGATAAATTTGAGGCTGGTCCTGATAACTTGGCCATTAAAGATCTCAGGCCCTTGCTCATAGTTGCAGGAATGCAAATTCCAGTATCCTGGCTAACTTTCACTGTGGGCTTATGCAGTTTGGTCTCCCTAAATGTCCTTCTGAATGAAATTGCCAAAGTCATTTCTTCACCTGATCTGCTGTGTTGGGGGCTGCCCACTAGTGGAGTTAAAACATTTTGGGTTACTTTTAAATAAAAAGTGAAAGGTAAATGCAAGTTGTTGTTATTATTAATATTATTAATAATAATAATAGTAGTAGTGATAACTGCATGATACTGTATATGCTATTGGCTAAACAGATGAAGCGTTGTCTAGGTAAGTAGGGGACTGCTTAAGACCCTGACATGAGTACTGTACAGTCAGTCAAGCCCAGAGGTTACAGTTTTGAGCAGTGTCACACAAACAAGCAAGCAGAGTGTGTTTTTAAATTGTTGAATATTTCTCATAGACCTTTATGGAGGAAATGACGAGGAAGCAACCTGATGTTGACAGAGTAACTAAGACACACAAGAGGAAGGCCGTGGCAGAACCTGTCCCTGTCCAGTCCCACATCCCTGTTCTGGATAAAGGAAGAGGGGGAAGTATGTACAGTTTGTGTATTTGCTTAATGTGAAACATCTGGCCTTGTTTAAGTGAAGTGACATAATATCCTCATACCTTAACCAGGCAGTGCTCATTATATCCTGGAACTTTTTTTGTGCTTGGGATTTCCTTTCCATGTTCATGGCTCAGTTAATTTGGGTTAAATATATATATAGAAATACACCAAGGCTCCAATCCCGTGGACAGTCCTAATATGGCTTTGTTTTTGGGCAATGCCTTCAGGGAAGCGCTCTCCCACGCAAGGGATGTATCCGTCAGCTCCACAGGCCCAGATTGAAACCAAGAACCCTCGCGTCAACCTCCTGGTCAGCAAGTGGCAGCAGGTCTGGCTGCTGGCCTTGGACAGGAGGAGGAAGCTCAACGACGCTCTGGACCGACTGGAGGAGGTGTGTAGTGGGCGCGTCCGGGCTGTTTCCATTTCCTTGGCAAATAAAACTTCACATTTTAGGTCATTTAACATTCTTGACACTTCACTCACCTTTCTCCAATAAGAAAAAAATGTTTTTTTGCCTTTTATATTTGTAAAGGATTATTTGAGTGAAATGTTCACAGTTGACAGCTGTTTTTATAAACATTGAATGGAACTTTATTGGGCCTTTGTGTTTTTAACGGAACAGATTTCAGAATATGACCAGGAATATGACATTGTTATTGCTGCTATTAATGCTGCTGCTGACAAATACATGTTATAGCCTGATCGTGTCAAAGTCCAGAAACTAACCAAGGCTGGGACTGGACAGTACTGGGCTGAGCGATCTCTAAGGAATACTGTGTTGCTGCTAAGTGGTGAAAGTGGACCAGTAGGTGTTGCTCTTTCTTCTGGACTACAATTTCCAAAACCAATGTTCCGGTATGGTGACCAGTAACATTGTTCTGTAAGAGGTGCCGTCTTGCTGGTGAGATTACCCAATTACTTGGTTATGAAAGATCCCATAGCAGTTTTCAAATGGACAGGGGTGTTGACCCCAGTAAATTCCCGTTGGAGCTTCTTCAATCTTTCCTCCCTGACGTTCCTCCTTGACTCAAGAATTGGTTCACTGCTCACTCCACCACCTGATCTGCTGTAGTGCTGCAGCTGCAGCTGCCGAGAGTCACTCAGGTGGTGGGTGAATGGGAGCCATCCACTGTGAGCAGGGCTTTGGGATGAAAGCAGTTTGTAATAATACTATCATTAAAGGGTGAAGTAACGCTGTTCTTATTTCAGCTGCGGGAATTCGCCAACTTTGACTTCGACGTGTGGAGGAAGAAGTACATGCGCTGGATGAACCACAAGAAGTCGCGGGTGATGGACTTCTTCCGCCGCATCGACAAGGACCAGGACGGCAAGATCACGCGGCAGGAGTTCATCGACGGCATCCTGACCTCCAGTGAGCCGCGGAGCCCCGCCGGTCGCCGCGACTGCGGACTGAATCGCCCTGCTGCGAAGGGCGCGCAAGGACTAACCCTGGGCTTTCTGTTGCCTTGCAGAGTTCCCCACCAGCCGCTTGGAAATGAGTGCGGTGGCAGACATTTTTGACCGCGATGGCGACGGCTACATAGACTACTATGAGTTTGTAGCAGCTCTTCATCCAAACAAGGATGCGTACAAGCCACTGACAGACGCAGACAAAATAGAGGACGAGGTACTGTGCGATGGCAGCAACATTTGCTCTTACCAAAACTAGCTATGATACAGATTGAAAGAGACTTGGTGGTTCGCTCCTGTAAGGTAAAAGCTGTGGTTACAGACAACAGCCTTCTCCCTTCTCCATTGCAGGGCAGCACACTGGCTAAGACAGTGAGACGGCTCAAACATTCATTTTTCCCTGTGTATGTCTTGTGTTTATGTCTTGTTCTAGGTAACTCGGCAAGTGGCAAAATGCAAATGTCCCAAAAGATTCCAGGTGGAGCAGATTGGAGCTAATAAATATCGGGTGAGAATTTTAAATGAATAAATTTCTAGCAATATCAGTTTTCCATGTGTATTGCGTTAACCCCCTGAGTGCACATTCAGTGCTTTCTTTTTGTAGACGTCAGATAGCTGCATCATATAGAATTGCACAATCTTGTTCTTTAGAGACTGATGCAATATATGAAAAATGTTACCAACAGTTGGACCTTAAGAGAGTGCTTTATTTAGCAGGAGTTTTGAATAGAATTTTTTAAAGTGGAGATGGCAATCTTGAGAGTGGAAAATTGGCTTTTTCATCCTACCCTGTTTAATATCTTTGAAGAAAGACCTTTAAGTGCCCCTGCACACTTGCCAAAAAAGATGACTTCATATAAATTTAATGCAGTGTTAGATATTTAGCTTTTCAGTGAGGGACATGTTAGAGCACATGGGTGTTAGATCAAATTCCCAGACTATAAGCATATATGGATCTAGGTCTTCCAAGATAGGCATCACTGTGGGGGATAGAAGATCTCATTCTTCAACAGCTTTGCCAGTAATTAGAAGCTCCTACAAGGTGGAGTGTGTGAGCAGAGCAAAACAAGTGTATTGATAGACATTCTTGTGTAACAATAAGGCAGCTTTCAATTGCTACTGTATGCTAGTTCCAATATAAACTGTAATTCAATTAAATATAAATTGTGTAGGCAGTGTCTAGTCTGGGAATAGAACAGCTTCTCAAACAGAAATGTATCATACTGGCTACATTTCTGATATTAATTTCAATTACTTAAGGAAAGGTAGGTATTTTATATAGCAGTATGTCTGCTTGTTTAATGTTTCTCTTACAAAATACATGATTTATTTTAAAACATAACATTCAGGGGTTTTCCACAGTGGACCAGTGGTAAGTGTTTTTGATGTCTGCCTCACTTAAACTAATTCTGTGTCTCTTTATCATTCCCTCCTCTATCAGTTCTACCTCGGAAATCAGGTACATATAAATGGCATTTACTTCTAATGTCTCGTGTGTTGCTGTGCTCAATTATGCCACATGTTACTGTATGTGAGCTCTTCTTTTCAGAAATAAATAATAGCTGAACTTATAAGTGGGTAGGTTATAGGGATACTTCATGCTCTGCTTAATCTCATAATGCGCAGCTTGCTTATTGCTAATTATTGTATTATCTATCTCTGCAGACATCAACATTTTATTTTATTAAATATACTGTGTCCATATGCTTTAGGAAAGCAGATGGGAGAACATGGAACAGCTATTAATAGAGGTCAATCTGGATGTGACTGTCTTTGTCTCCTCCATTGGTAAACACTGTTTTGCAATGCAGTTTTTTGCTCATGGCAGTAAGACCAAAGGACAACAAACAGATCTCCCCGCAATGGATACCCTGTTATCCCAGAGGAAGCTTTGACCTCTGCCCGGTTTATCTTGCTTTGGTCAGCAAACTGAGCATCAATGAACCGTAAATATTGATGGATGCAGAAATAGGTAATCAGGAAATTGTAGATGCACATATACAGTAATTAAACAGCAATGCGATATGAGCATAGTAAAAAGTATTCCTTTACAATAAAGTAAGGTTTAGTGACTGATACTTTCAAGCATTTACTGAAGTTCAGTACATTTTTCACTGGTTCTTTTTTATGCTTTCAAATTTACAATCTTTTGTTAAATATTGATGGAATAAAATGATGAACATAAAGATCTCTAATCCATATCAAGATACAGTGCTTAACCAGCACTTGAACTGCAAGTTTGACTTCAAATATTCCATTTATAGACTCCATTTATAAAGTATATTACAGCGAGAGTACAATTTAGCAACTAATCAAGAGGGCTATGAAAAAGTACTGAATGTTTTGTTCTTTCAGCATGTATTGTATGATGAATGGGTGCTTGTAAACTCAGTAGGCCTGTTTGAGTAACTGTATTTTGAAAACTGTGCACTACAGAGCAATGAGATTTGGTTCGTATGCAACTGGGACTTGGGGGAACGTGTTCACATAGATCACTTCAACGCACATCAGAGGACACTACGTCAGCTCAGTGCTTCCTCTCAGTCTGTGTCTGCGATGGGCTATTTGTGTGGAAAGAGATGGTCCACATCCACACAAAGCTGTTCAGTGTCGGCCATCAATGTCAAAAGACCACCTTCCCCAAGGTCCTGTTTGTAAATATACCAAATACCATGAAATGCTCCATTATTCAGATGCTTGAATATTCCAGCTAAGTTTATAAGCACCTTTTATAAAGTACAGTTTTCATAATTTGTTTCTACTATTGTTAGAATTTAATTTGGGATTAATAAATATTTTCAGCTGAAACCAATGAATCCTTGCATCTCTCAGCTTTTAGTTCTTGTGTAGTTTTGAAATCTACAACTAACTCTGTATCTGTGTGCTTGCTCTTAATGCTCATGTTTTAAAAATTAATTAACACTATATATTTGGTGCTTTTATTTTTCAGCTAACATATGCTATTTTATTCTTGATTTAGAGCTGGGGAAATCTTTTTTGTTGGCTTTCTATTCATGTTTTGGCTAAGTCTAATTAATGAAATTGGGGGTCAAGATCTTTTTTTTCTGCATAAAGGCCAATGCATGTTTAAATTCAGTTCTTCATGAACCATAGTCATAGGCCACGTGCTTTCTGAAGCCTAAATAAAAAGGCATACATTGGGAGATAAAATGAACATAAGGACTGAATTAAATTTTTGGTGCAGAAATGAAAATAAAGGAAGTGTATAGTTTAAATCATGCAAGGACATACTCCCTGTTGTTATTTTGTTTTATATCATGCATTTTGTCATGTAAACACATTTTTTCAATACAGTGCTACATATATCTACTTAAACAATTCTTTTAACAGTTTGGTCTTGTACACTGCTTACATGACCCATTAATCGCGGATGAGACAATAGCAAACAGAGACAATCAAAATGTAACCCCCCAGCTACAAGTTGCTGTATTGGAAAGCTGTATACTGGTAAATGGTTATTCTTAAGCGTTTGTGCGTGAAGTTTTCAGATCATTACCCAAAATCATTCTATCTGATCACCAAAATTCACCAGTTGCATAATCACATTAGAGAAGTGTAATAAACTGAGAGGAGATCATCAGAGTGTTTAAATGCAGGAGTCCACTGCAGGATCATTGAAATGTAATCATCTTAGATTTTGCACCATGGTTACTTAATGAGAAAAATCATTTATCATTTTTTCAGTGTTCCATTTGAATATAACTGCATTATTTCTGTATTGTGCCAACACATCTGTTTTTAATATGGTGATTTATAGTGCTAGAAAATACCACAATTCACGTTGTTAATTTGCAGGCAGTTTCATTGTTTTTCTGCAGAAAGCATGAGGCCATAGCTGTTGTGATGTGTACAGTATTGGTGTATCATGGCGATATCCAACTGGTTTATTTATTCTTTTTAAAATTGTGCCAAGTAAATGCAATCTCTCTTTTTCACAGAGTGGGGGATAAAATTCATATGTTTTTCAAACAGTTGGTGGTATAAAATTCTGAGCTGTTACCTAACTCATTAAGTGCCCCTTTACTGTGTCTTTACTGGAGGAGAAAGTCAGAGGATTGATTAACCTAGAAAAACATTTGAACATTTTTACAGTAAACATTTTAACGTTTCTTGAATTTTTTATTTGTAAAGTGAGTATATTCCAGACTCTATAGTAGTAGGCGTTCATACAGTAAGGATAATCAATTCATGAAGCCAATGTTAAAATCTGAAATCAAAGTTCCAGAAACATTTAATATGTACAGTTACATTTTTAGAAACGGCAAACTTTCATAGTGGTTACTACTGTATATAGACCTGTTATCAGCATGTCGCTTGTTACCAGTAAAGGTAACAGTATATCTTGGCAACACAAGGTGGATGTTGATTACGCCCCAGATGAACACATAACCGAGCCAGCATGCCACCAGAGCACTGCCCACATTTCCAACAAGTGGAGAACATGCAAATTCCACATGGAAGGTGCCCCGGACCAGAGGGGAACTTCTGACCCAAGAGCTATGAGTTATCTGTGATAACTGTGGTGCCACTGGAGATAAGTTAATAAATTGCATAAAATGTACACTCACAATAAGTCATGTTCATTCTTATGAATGGACTTGTCAATTTTGTCAGAACTGTGAGTCGCAGAAGGCAATCGTAAACCAGTTGGATTGGTCCTCCATTTGTATGTTTGGGAATGTTCAGTGAAACATTTTTAAACATGATGTTTCAAAAGCCAGAGTGGAGCAACAAGAAAAAGAGTCAGGACCAAGGATGGTGATCTAATAGGACAAATTAGACTCCAGATGAGCACTGACAGCTGGAGCTGGTCGACATCTGTCCCAAGCTCACCGGAATGCTCTTTTCTTTTTTTTATGTTCTGCATCAGGACTTTTTAAAATACCCTCCCCAATTCTGAGTTTTCACATTTATACAGTAGTAAATCTGACGCTCATAACGTTTTTAATTTTAGTGGTATCTTTAGCCTGGAAAACATATTAAAATATAAAAACAGTAACAGAGGCACCATGGAAATTTGCTTTACAAACTGCAGAGATTAATCTGTTGTTTTTACCAGGACATAGATCACCATTCTGACCTTGTACTTTGTTTCTGTTGGGTCCCTCAACATTTTTGAATAGAACTTTGTGGCACTGAAATTTCAAACCTGCTGCTCCCCTGAATTCTCACGTTTCTCCCTCTTCCAGTTCGGAGACTCCCAGCAGCTGCGTCTCGTCCGTATCCTCCGCAGTACTGTCATGGTCCGCGTGGGAGGTGGCTGGATGGCACTGGACGAGTTTTTAGTGAAAAACGATCCGTGCAGAGGTAGCGTATTTAACGAAGCTGGCGACCCGGGGCTCCCCGGTGTAGTAGTTATGATCTTCTTCCCCACAGGTTTTCTGAAACAGGCTGCATTAGTTATGTGACCTGTAAATCAGTGTTGTGGTCATTTTAACATAACCTGCCATTTTTGGTGGCTGTTAGAAAAAAAAATAGTGCAGTAATATTTCAATTATTTTTTGCTTTTTTACTGATAGTACTCACACTGCCTTTCCAGAAAAGACAACATTTTCTGTCTTGTGGATAGAATTTGCATGTAGGGCCTAGAGATGTGGTGTCTTTATTAGCTGCCACTCCTTGTAATGTATTTTGAGCCAACTTGGTTTGATCATTAGAACAATGGAAGGGTCTTAGTCTGATGTATATACAGTACTCTACCTGACTGATGTTGCTGATCATTATTGCCCCCAAACCTGGGGTAAAAACTGAACATGCTACTCATTGTTTCAGTAACCTGATTTAGCCTCCTGTGTTAATGGTTTGTAAAAAGTGTTGAAAATGCCCGGCAGTACTATATTGAATTCTTTTTTTTCCCCCAATTAGAATTGGGTCCCTATTCAAAAAGCGATAATTATATTTTAAGGGCAGGTGTGTTACACACTGAAAATGTACAAGTGCATTGAGAGAAAGCATTTTCTTCTTGGCTGAAGAAAATTTGAACTGGTTGAATCTCGCTCTGACAAATGTAGATAATGCTATGAGATAAAACCTCTGGAGCTTTTATTTTGGTGGCACTTATGGTGGGTGCTGATAAAGTCATGGCTATTTTCTATACGAGCAAAAAAGGCACATACAGCACTAGTACTCATGCTTCCTGGTTTGCTGGTTGTGAAGGCTTGCAGTCTTGTGCCTATTTAGTTTTTCTATTTGTATTTTTTTTCTGCTAAACATTCCTACTGCTTTGTTTGTGACAAGAACCCTGTATCATTTTTTCTAGTTCATCATCATGGGAGTAAAATGTTACGTTCGGAATCAAACTCTTCAATTACTACTCAGTCTCCTATAGGTTGGCAACTCTCACTCTCTTTCCTGCTTCAGCCTGGTGGTGTGTGTCTGTGCATTGTGACCTGCATTCTTTGTTGATCAGCATTACATGTTTTTTCACCATTTTAGTTTCATTTGTAAGCATCAAGGCATTAACCTTGTTTGGAAAGCATGCTTGTTATTTCTTTCGGACTCATCCTTGGTAAGGTGTTACTCTCCTAACGAAAAGCACATGTCAGTGCATGGACTGTTTGCTTCTGTGTACATCATTGTTGTAATGCTGTGTAACCCATGAACTTTGCTTGCTGTCCATCTTTGCAGATTTATAATTGGCTTCCTTGACTTGATTTCTTAATACATAGCACCCTTTTTCTGACACTTAAGAATTTCAATCCTAGAATCAGATAGATTTTATGCGTTATGAGCAGCTTTACTCTTGGCAGGAAAGGATCTTTTTTTTATATAAATGTCTGTTGATTTTTCTTGCTGTAAAAGTCTGAGGAGCTTTGTTCCACTTTTAAAGCTTGAAAAGATTTGGCACAATTGCTCTCACAATCTGTGTTCATACATAAACCCATGCTAAAGATGTTTTTCTTTTGTTACAAATAAGTTCAAATTTGAATCTAGTACAGATTTAAAGTCAGTCATCTGTAAAATGATGTTTTATTTATTCCAAAAGGTGTGTGGAAACAACCCATTTAGTTTTATATCAACTCAGTTACGAGGTTTTCAAAAACTCTGGGGCATTTTAATAAGATATTCTTCAGTTCTGTTTTTATCCCTGATGAATTCCCTTGCTATTTTAGGACTAAAATGCTTAGAGAGAGCCAAATGTTTAGTTTAGTAACCTTAGTAACATAGATTAAATGTTTTTTTTAGGAATCACTACATGGTTATGATTCACTAACTGCCTGCAATTGAACTGCAGTTGTTGTAAAAGACATAATAGGATCCAAAATGAAATCAACTGAATTCCTTCTCCTGTGTGTATATATGAGGCATGTGCATGTTTAGTTCACTGAACACATGACGTCAGATGTTATATATTAAAACCTATCTAAATGTGAAGTCATACAGGATAATAGTTTCACCTTTGTGCCATAGTGGTGTTAAACGTGCATGTCTTTCATTCACTGTATATTTATTTGCTTTGTTTTCAGAACATGAAAGCTGTTTTATCAAGTGTTTCTTTTTTGTATATTGTGAAAGATCTTCTTTTCGTTAAAAAGCAAGATCTATTTGCAGCTTGAACAATATCTTTAAATCAGGATTTGATTTTGCCTGCCATAGTTTAAATATCTATATTCATACTTGAGACTTTGTAAACACCATGCGTGCGTGGGTTTTACATCACTAATGCTTTCCTTCTTTCAGCGAAAGGCAGGACAAACATGGAGCTGCGCGAGAAGTTCATGCTACCTGAGGGTGCCACACAAATGATCAGCTTCCGATACCGGGGTCGGAGGTCACGCCCATCGTCCCGGGCTGCGTCCCCCAACAGGTCCTACTCCAGCCACAGTGCTTCCGTGCCCCCTATCCCGGCCGCAAGCACACCCAAGGTGAGATGTCAGAGAAGCCCGGCAGACGTCTGGGGCTGTAACCCCTATCCCACGGGAGCCACTTCCTTAAAGGATCCCTTTCCCTGCTGTTGGTCTTTGAACTAACATGCTCGTCCTGAATCACAGTGACAGTCGTGTTCCCGTCAGTGCAGTTCCACACGATCAGGGGAGCCCTGGAATGTCGTGGGTTTGACATTTACAGTAGGTGAAGTGAATGGGGCCTTGCAGCTCTTCTCTGTAGTCTCTCTATTCAAGCAGGGAGCTGCGTCAGCAGGCCTAGGCTGCAAAGGAACAAGCCAAGTAAAGGTTTATTCCTGCTGAAAAGAGAAGAAAAGAAATCACCTGTGGAAGAAGGCTCCACAGCTGGAACATTGTGTCTCTTTTCTTTTCAGCATGGAGTAGTCCTTTACTCATAGCTTTTTACTATGGTTTTGTTACCTTTTTTCACTTGATACCAGTCATTGAAAATTCTCTTTAGACAATACTGTTTACTGAAAGAAAAACATTTAAATACATGGAGATTTTGTAGGGTTGTTTGTGAGCAGTTCAGTGCTATAGGTGATTGACATATTTCATGAGGTGTCAATAAGAATGCTTATTCAGGCCACCCCTAGACAGGATATACAGAATATATAGGCACACTGAATACAGGACACCTGAAATTCAGACTAATGGTATTTTATGCTAAGAGATTCTTAATTACTAAGCAATGCAGACCACTGGGCAAGTGAATTAGAATGAATGCCTTTCGGTTGAGACTGCTGTGCCACTAGGTCTCGGTACTGTTCTACTATTCCTATTATCATGTTCTCGTTCAAGCATTTAACTGATTTTCTCAACATCAGGTAGACAACAACTTGGCACTTTGTGATATCAAATGTCTCTCATGAAATCCAGTGTTAGCTGAAATCCACACATTGCTAATTTCATTTACAGCTAGGACAGCATACCAAAGGTTTCATGGTCATGATTCCATTCATTCTTTATGTTTTATTCCCTATTTTTATTTTGGTTTTGTTTTTCCTGGGTTGCCTTGCCTTGTCATTGTGCGTACTGCAGCTTTTCTCTGCCATTTCAATTTATTTTCTCCCATCTAATGCCCTTTGTGTTTTGATTTGCCATTGTTCCACACAGACTCCCCAACATTTAACCCGCAATTATGATAAACCATGGTTGACAAACAGCAAAACTTCAACTCCTATTAAATCTGCAGACTCCTTTGAAAGTCAACTTTCATCTACGGAGGTATTTAAGAACATAAATGCCTGTGAAGCCATGCTTTTATGGTTTAACCCACCGAAAACTCAAATGATTGCATCCTATTCTCTAACTAGAGTAGCCCAACCTGTGTACTGTATCTGTACTGACATATACCATCTGTCTGACTGAAAACTGTTTCTGAACTAGTATTCTGAGAAGTGTGCTCCAAGTCCTGGCTCAAAAAATACCATGCAAATTGTCCATATTTATTCATAAGCAAGGATGTGGGAATATGGTCAACTTTACCAGTAAAATGCTAGCTTATCAATGAAGTGATCATATGGTTGTGGTTCTTTTCACCACATTTAGCTTATGTAGTGCTGAAGATTCAGTATATCTGGCTCTTAGAAATGCCTGTAGTTATTTTGTTTTCAGGTGGTAATAACTTTGGTATATTCCAGTTAGAGAATGGGATACAGTCTTTTAAAATACTAACAGATACAACAGTAATAATAGCTTACCGTGGGGTAGAAATGACTATTTGGCTGTTTTGTATTAGCTGTAACTCCACTAAGCCCTGCTGTTTTTGGGTTGTACTTCAAACTCTACTTTATCACTTCCCAAGAATGGGTGTTGAATTTTCTTTTTGTTGCTGTCCTTTAAAGGCTTGGTAATAAGCTAGAGGAATGCCAGCTGACTTCAGCTATTTTAAGCTCCTGATTTGCTGTTGAAAACAAACAAATGACAAGCATGCTCTCCCTAGAACCACAAATACCACTTCCTTGTTAAATTTAACACACCCTTAAAAAATGTCCATTAAGGATACTGGGAGTTTCAAAAAATAGTTTATGCTGCAAGGATACATTTCTATAGAATGAAAAAGGCTACTCTTCAGAGTTAGCAAATAAGATTATTTTTGCTTGAGCCTGTTGCCTTAGTTTTTCAGTCTGTGATCTAAGATGAGATCGTTTTTAGTTAGCGTGAAGAGTCCGCATGCCTCACTCCCCTGATTGGTGAAGTTGCAGCTGAGTGAGAAGTACAGCCCACTTCAGTCCGCTTTTCACAAATAACATTTCAAGTGGCATGTGCCAGTATTCTCCTGCAGATAGCATCACCTGCCATCCACCCGTTTGTCCTGTGTTTCTAACTAAGTGCACACAATGGATATTCCTTTGCAGGGTACGCCGATACAGGGAAGCAAACTCCGTCTTCCTGGATATTTGTCAGGCAAAGGCTTCCATTCAGGAGAGGAAGGTTCTCTCATATCAGCTGCAGCATCTAGAGCCAAATCACAGGCAATAGGTGGGTACCTTGAACTATATTCATTCCACAGTGAACTTATAGCCCCTTTCATTGGCCTCTGTTGGTACAATTACATTTGCAACCAAAAAAACCCTATAAAATCCACTTTCACCTTTTCTTAAAATACTCAGAAGATCCTGAGTTTTCAAAAGGACTGTGGGAGTCTGGACTGGCTGCCTTTACCAGCCACGCTGGCTCCTACTGAGAAGTGGCTGCAGAAGAGGTTCTCGAATCACTTACTGTAGCTGCAAACCAGCTACTGTAAAATGGGCCGGAGGGCCTCCTGTTGCTCATAATTTTTCGTCATGTTTTTAAAATATGGAGAGCGTGCAATTTAAAAGACAAAACTAGAAAACAAAACATCCTGTCCATTGTTTTTTAATCCTGGGTGCCGAGTGCTGAACTAAAAAAGATCAAACCCCACTACAAGAAAAGCTCGAAGTCACTGCCAGTATATAATCCTGCAGTAAAGTGCTGGTATTTGAACAGACAGGAAACCAAAGCCTGCTGATTCAACTACCTGCATGGAGGTTTGATTGAAGCTGTATTCAGTGATTCAAAGCCACCTGCGTTCAGAGAGCTTGCCCACTCTTGCTACCGCTTTATGATGATCCAGCCAAACCACTGATGAACTGATTAGTAAATTAAACCCAGACAGACCAACACAATCTAATTCTTTCCTGTGTGGATTATAGGATAAAACACTACTGCCCCCTAGTGGAATGTCTTGTGATAAAGGATATGAATACAGTATATTTACCTGTGCTGTAGAACTTGCACGAGCAGCTGCCGATTTAGAATATAAATCCTTTCACTTCTTGCTGGAGCAGGGATGCGCACATCGGTGTCACGTGCACACTGACAGCCAGGCTCTGACTGGAGCTGGCCGCCTGGGCTGAAACGTAACCAAGCGCCCTCATGCCTTGCAGAGTCTAAGAAGATCCCCAGCAGACCTGGGAGTCGAGCAGGCAGCAAGGCTGGCAGCAGAGGAAGCAGTCGGAGAGGCAGCGATGCCTCCGACTTCGACATTTCGGACATCCAGTCCGTGTGCTCCGACATGTCAGAGACTGTGCCAGACGCCAGCAAGCTGGGGCCCAGAGCAGGGCCCCGGACGCCCTCTGCCAAGCCTTCCAAAATCCCCACGCCTCAGAGGAGGACCCCTGCTGCTAGCAAACTGGCCAAGCCTTCCAAAAGATAGTGGGGTGTTCGGACTGGCCCCGTGACGAGACTACAATGTGCATTAAAATATTTAAAGGTTGCAAGATGTAAAATATTCTGTAGAAATGATTGTGTAATATTGAGCAGGCAGTTTTGAATGCAGATGGCCTTATGTGTATTTGTCTTGTATTTTATTTTTTGTGAAAAATGTATTTGTCAGATTGTTATTATTATTATAATATTATTTTATTATTTTATTTTTGACGCCATACTCTTAAGAGGCTGACAATGAGTACTTTCCATTGTAAGGTAAACTAACAATTCTACACGCTACCTTGTAACTGTAACACTACATATTGCTCTGGAATAATTGCTGAATGTACTTTTAATTTTTTTTAAAACTGACCTGCAAGTGTGGCACATTACTGGACTCTTGGTGGTGAAACATTTATTTATATTTCTTGATTGTGCAGTAAACAGCTGTTAGAATGAATGAAGGGACAAGTCAGTGCACAACACTACAACACAAATTCAGCCTAATGTGAAAGCAAAATTTAAAAAATTCACTCTGCAGAAAACTGTCCGTAAACAATTAAAGTCTTGAACTCTTAAATTAAGCTCTTGCAGTTACTATTATTTTTGACTGTCTTACAGAAATCTGTGCCATTTATTTAACTGTGACTGGAGTGATTCTGACTCCGATAACACTAGTCATTCATTACGATGTGCGTTCATGTTGATGTATGGTTTGATTCTGCTCAAGTGAACAGGGGCACTGTATCACTTAATTTTATAATAAATCTGCTTGCAGAAAGCTAAAATGATATGCATAGTTCCATAGCCTCTTATTCATCACCCACACATTGAATGACTGTGTTTGATGAAAGAAACTGGAACAGAAATAAGCCAAGGAGTTGTGGTACCTTGATGGAAAATAAACGAATTGTGATATATTTCAAACAAGGGGAATCGGAACAAGATTCACAGACTGTGTACTGTATATAGGCAGCACAATATTTCATTGTTCATGTGACGGGGATAACTGAAAGACACACTTTGTTTTTCCAGTGCTGATTTCCAAGATAAATCTGTCCGGTTTGTTTTAAAAGAGAAGGACTCTTGGCCTAAAGTAAGCTAAGGGATTTAAGGTTGGGAAAGGATCTTCTGTCAGCAAAACAGGAGTTGGAGGGAGAAAAGAGGAGATGAATGAAGATCAAACCAAGTTGATGGCTTTAAAATCTCACGGGCGGGGGAAGAGAATGTTTTTTTTGTTGCTGTTAACACTAAATACTGAGATTGTAGGTCATGCCTGGAAGACGATGTTGAGAATAAAACCTATTAATGGCACAGTATGAAAGGAAGTTATGAAGTTATGGATTGAACTAACTGTTTTTTACGTCAGTCACACATGGAGAGGGCGGCATGTATTTTCAAAAGGAGGGAAACTAAATGGGCAGTTTGAGAGGATCGAAATTCAAAGCATTAGTGCAATTCAAAGCACTGAGCAGAAGTCCAGGCAAGGGCATGATTCCCAGATTCTGCTTTTCAGAGTTTTAAACTTAGCATTTTTTGCCCAGAAACATATCAAAGCACTTTAGGAGTGGATCCTGCTGCATCCACTGCTAAGGGAAGCACCTACCTAAGTGAAATGCAGCCCTTCTGCCCAAGCCGCTCACTGCATAGCAGATAATTTAGAGAAGGGAGAACCGCTTACCGGTGGAATTGGATACACCAGGGTGCCAGCATTTTTCTGTGATTTCTTGTTTCAAAATCCCCTTGCATAATTTTAAAGCACCAGACATTATCTAAGGAATCACTCACGCTTGTCAGAAGAACCAAAATGCTTTAACACAGGCACCCGAAGGTAAGACTACAGTGTAAGGAAAAAATACAAAGCTTTCTGCTACCTCATTCCTGCAACGGACAAGTCTTCAGTATAGAATTGTTCTTGTTGTTAGCTTTCTTCATGAATGTACATCTCTATGGGAAGTTGTGCCACTAGTCCATTAAGGAATTGATCAGTACTTTGTACTGCACATTTGCTGAACTGCAGATAAATGCAAACATAGGTTGTGTTTGTCCTAGATCAGTTGGAAATATGCCACTGTGCAGTCATTGTATCTCAGCAACAATGCAGTATAAATGGGGACCACAGGGGGGCAGAATTTCTCTGTGTGAGGTCTTCCACCTGCTGTCTTGTGGTCAAGTCCTTGCACTATATTCATTCATTTTCCCTGCACAACTATACTGCTCTTTTTGAAAATTTCGCAGTTTTAAAATCTGATTATGATGGTGCATAATCAGATTGAAGTGTAACAGACAATTCATAATACTTTGATGTATTTAGGAAGAAGCAACAGCTGGGAGAACAGTGGGTATTTTGGTACCTCTTTAGTTTTGCCTGGAAACTGTTCTTTGTTTGCAGCCTGTGGAAAGGTTTTGTATCACTGAACATTTTATTCCAAACGATTAAAGAATAAGATGGATTCGCTAAGAACCTGTCATAGACAGCATTCCAGCTGCAATCCAAAACAGCTCTGCCTTTTATGGATACTGACAAAACCCAAACATTTCCAAAGCAGCTGAGTCTTTACAGTCCTCTGCTTAACCAGTTGGAATATGGCACCTGGAAGGAGCTGTACAAAATCAGCAAAGCAAATTCAACCCAGATGAGAAAAAGTAATCATTGGTGCTTTCATCAATATTACCTCTCTTAGGATGTTTCCCTTTGTGCTTGCCTATGTGTGTTTGGTATCGCAGTCTCTGGGAAGGTGTAGTTTGTGAAATATAATCTTGAAGTTATGCTTTCATAAATGGTAAAAACACTGTGGAATAAAGCATACTTAAATGATCAAATACTGTGTATGCCTAATGTGGCAATTATTGATTTTTTGGTACAGTATCTACATTACTGTGTCACGTTGAAAGGTACCAAATATTCTTGTGCACAAGTTAAAAGTAGAAATCGCACTCTAATCATGACCACGATGTGACTTACATTTTGCCCAAAATGTGAGATTTTGAGCGTCTTAAAACAAACGTGCAAATAAAATCGAAACGCTGTAACCTTTAGAGTCATTTGATCCTTTGTTTTATTCTGTTTCAATCTGCTGTTTTCTGTCATTCATATGTACAGATCCATTCCATAAACACACTGCTTGAGATTGTGACTGCCCTTTTCAGATCTGAACTTGTTTTGGGGGGACACCTTTAGGCTTCTGCCAAAAGCAGAAGGAACTACAGCCTGTTTGACTTCAGCATTCACATTATACTGTAAGCTTATCTCTGAATGTGTTCCTAACTTATGAGGTAATTTTATGAAGAAATCAGCCTTTACATTTATGAAGTAATGTGCACTTAAGTAACCCCTCCAAATTTGGAGCTGGAATGGAGCCAGAGTTCCTGCCAGACTCTATTACTCCAATCAAGGGAAATTACTCTGGGCAATTGTTCTCTTAGGACACATTTCAGAATGGAAAAGACAAAATATCAGAGGCAAGTTATTTCACATTTGATACTGATTTGGGCAAAAGCCAGGAACTAGACTATTAGGCAAAGAATACATAATTAGAAAAGTGTGTACTGTACCATCTCTCCCTTATATGTGCATTGATCTTCCTGCTTATTTTGCTACAAGCCTGGATTGAGTCACAGCTGCGATTCAACAACAATCCCAAAATAAAGCCCAGTACTAATGGTTTGGTCTCCATTAGGCTGAAGTCAGAAATCTTCCTTGGAGCACTGGGGCTCTGATTACAATTGGGTAAAAGTTTTTATTTGATCTGGGCCATGACCTTATCAGAAGGTTTAGACTGTGAAGGCAGTATACCTGGAAATGTATGATTCCCACCTGGTGCTTGTCTACTTAAATTGACTATAAAATCACCCCATGGATGTTTCTTACACATTTCATCTTGATGTTTTTGATCATTTCTACACCTGTATCCAATGTTGACATTATCTGAAGGAGTTTCAGAAGAAAGGGGAAACACTACTTTGACATCTAGACCAAACGTGAAAGGTCAGTAGCCAATTGTGGGGTCCCTGGGGGAAAGACTAGATGACTTTACTTTTCTATGCATATTATATGAGAAATTCTACCTGCCCAGGAACTTCAATTTCAAAGCACATTCTGTTTTCCAGAAGTCCCCAGTGGAAAGAACTGGTTTGGAAATCTTTAGAGGTTGGGCAGCTTGTGTCACGTTTCATTTCATTCAGATTCTAGTCACTTGTGTCCTGAAAGGATGATGCTAGTTAAGTTAATTTAGTGCCGTGAAATTAAAACATTCTCATTTCATATGTAGCTTTAAGTGGAAATATGTTAAAGATTTCTTTCCAGTTATCCCACTTTTGAGGATACCTATTACAGTATCCTTGTACATCCTGTGCCCAAACCAAACTAAATTATTAAAAAATAAATTAGACAGGCAATTTGTTCACAGGGTAAACCAAGTCCAAGACATATTAGTTGGCAGAAGAAGTTACAGGAGATTAAACACTTCAAGAACATTATTTTAATACTTGAAAGACGTATTGCATACTGTATCTGCAGAGTAAACCTTTTCACTGAAACAGAAAAACCTGGAGAGACTAGACTGTTTTTGAAAGATGTGCTTTACACATTACACACGTTTACAGCCTAACAATCAAGAGTTTAAAGAGCCGGGTGATCTTTCATGCCTGACAGTGATACACCGGACTATCTTTCAGTGTTACAGATGCGCTGAATCTCTTTGTTAGTGAGACATGGGTGATGAGCTGAATGTCAAGCATGGTGAAGTTCAGGAAAGAAAAAACAAAGGCAGGAACTGTATCTTATAAAGAGAACAAAGCCTTTGTGCCATGCTGGTACAGTATGTTGGAGACACTGCTGCCCCTAGCTTTTTGGGGGCCTAGGCAAGATCTTGACAAGGACCATGATTCTGCATCCACTACTGTTATCAGCTATTAAAATTGAAAAATAACGATAAACGTGAATCTGTTAACTTCTAGTAAAACGCTGGAGTAGTCTACGAGTCTAGCTAGAAAATGCAGCTCGTCTACTGTGACATGGATCTACCCTTCGCTAGTAACATTGATGTGAATCGATCGATCGAAGGATATAGTATTGCAAAAGAAAAGCAACTGTTACCCGTTCTAACTGTGAAAAAAGCGTACTTTTGAAGTTGCACTGCTGAGAGCCTGCCTTCACTCTCCGGAATGTTTGCACAGGGTCTGGTACCTGCCTGTGACATACTGCACCTTAGCTTCGGGCCAGGCGAGATAGTGCACGACTGTCACTGCGCTACATAGCGTGGAGATGAATAAAAATTATGCATTAAAATACGTTAGATTTTATAATAGTTTCTAACACAAAGATCAAATGTTTAACATGTTCTCTAAAGCTTACCAGTTGTAAAGTATTTTTCCTTTCCAAACGAAAGCAGGTCTTTTGTGTTCCTCTTTGAAAACAAAATCGAAACTTAAAGGTGTGAAAAAGTTTACAAGGTAACACAAAATAAAATAAACGAATTTTAGTTCTAACATTTACAAATTCCCAATGATGCGTAAAATATTCTGAATGGTGTATTGCATGTTTTTGTGTACTTCTGATGATAATTTGATCAGAATTGCTCTCCATATTTGATCTCACACAATCTTTAAATATATTTTGGGCACTGGCTCCAATAATTGCAATGCACCACTACGCTGGTTGAATTAAAACGTTGAAATTGTTGTACCGCGCATCGGGGGTGGTCAAATTCAGTCATGTGGCCGAACAGGTTTGGAAATATTCGCAGGCCCAAGATATTAGAATTAACGCCCAACAGCGATTTAGGCTGTTCGTGACGGGCCTATGGGGAAAGGGGAGATCCCACTGGGACTGAAGGTGGAGCGGAGCGCAGGGACCCGGCGCCGGTTTGAGTTCAAGATTCTCCTGCAGGACGTCCGGACCCGGCCTGCCACTTGGCTATATTCACAGCGCGGCACCTGTGACTGAACCGTCAAGCGGCTCGCCTGGAGCACCCAACCAAATATACATATATATTTAAAAATATGTAAGTCTTCCTTTTTCCTTTTTCCAAATTGTTAGAAACAATGAGGAAAAACAGTTAGAAAAATTAATGGAATACCTCTATTGGAAAATGCAATTTTAGTACAGTTTCTAATAAGAGCACGAAATTCCATTTTGCGGATGATAAAGAGGAAATGTGTTAAACTGACGTCAAATACATTTGATGTTTGAAACTTAATTACAAGCGATGTTTATGTAACAAATAATACAGATTAAGTGCAAGACGATTTGGCTTAATTTGTTACTTTTACGATGATGATTATATAATTTGTTTTATGTGTTTGGAATATAATATTCAAGCCTTGGATTTAATTGTAAAAATCAGATCAATACATCAGATCATGTAAAGCCTTTTATCCTAAAACTTTGTGGTCCAGGCAGGGTTTCCAGACTGGACTACAATTTGGAAAAAGCCTGCAAATATTCACAAACTGAAAACCTTATACGAGACAACGATATTTTTATGTCAGTATTTTGTCATTCTAAAGGAATTTTTCAAATACTCCCGTATTATCGAATGCTTTATTTCCAGGTGCAAAAGCTGAAATACGTTATTACGCACACCCTGTTGTTACTTGGCACGACAAAGCGCTGCTCTGATACTTTGCCATATCCCATCGCAAAGTCCAGCTGTCACAGGTTGTGAAGCTCAGCAGTAATTAATCGTAAAATGTATTTTCTTCTAAGGACCTTTTAAAGAAGTGCCTTAGTCGCAGTCAAAGCTAAACTACAGTTCTGTTAGTTATTCGTTTTATTAGTGTAAATATGGAAGACAGCTAATCGATTTCAGAAAGCTGCAATCCCACTGTTCATGCTATTGAAAAAATATACTGTATAACTCATTTTCCTTATTCTATGAAGTTCTCGATACTTGGCTTGTTATGTTAACACACATCTCTTCTCAGAAGTAATACTGTAGTTTCTGTTTTAAGGTAACTATATCTTAAAAGAATGAAATTTGTCTTCAAAAAGCTCAAATAAAGTTTGGAATGCTACTGGTACATTATATTTGTGAAGTCAGTGTAATGCTACAGTAATATTAAGCAATTCCAAATATGGCAAAGTTGTTTATTTTCCATTATTCATCATTTATAGTACATTTAGTTACGCTCTCATTGCATGCGTATTTAAAATTGCATATATCTAAAAAAATCTGATCTATTGCACCCTTCTTATCATTTTGAAGTATAAAAATGTTTACCCGTTTTTACATGTTTAGTATCACATACTGTACAACGGACTGCACGCTAAATTAAGAGGTCGTGAGATTTTTGTTTACTTTGTATAAATCTAAATCGTGCCGTTAAGAAGCATTCTTTACGGGTTCACCCTGTAATCAATTTGGTTTAACATAATACATATGCATGCGTATTTTCTGATTTGTCTCTAAATAGTAATTGCATTCCGTTCTTTTAATATTAAACTATTGGCTTTTCAAAAACAATCTGTCCTGAACCGATTGCACTTAAGTACAAAATGTAAGGGTCGGTTACCATATGCATGACAGAATTAATTATAAAATGCCAGTCTCAAACCTCAGTTACGTTAAAATATATATTGTATTATTTTTTTTTATTTCAGGTACATGTGAATCCAGAGTTTACCAAAATGAAAACTCCAACATTGAAAACACTGCTCGTTTACCCAGTCATCATTACTTTGTTTGGATTCGCTACAGGCCAGGAATTACCGAGTAAGTCTGAATACATATGTAATAATAAAGGTAGAATAACCACCATAAATCTCTTAGTATGTAATTATTGTAATTATACCAATCTGACATTAGCATTGTGAAGGAGACTGAAGTTAAGGATAATCAATACCCAGAACTTAAATGCTTTTATTCTGTGAGGATGAGCCAATTTTTTAAAGTGGCTTTTATCTTCAATTCTCACGCGGTTCTGATCATTCGCTGTGCTGTTCTGATCATTTCGGATTGTCAGACCAAGCGCAGTCACGCAGTTGCAGTGGTACAGTGCTGTTTCCGCACGACGCTGTCAAAGTCTACCCATGGTTTGTGTGTACGGTTATTTTATTACCGTTGCCAGCAGCAGATGTCAGTATTGTCACGCACAATGTACTGCAGTAGTTCATTTTCAATTGGCCCCGGTAAGGGTCTGTCTGTTTTCTGTGTGCGCCGGGATGGTGTAGCAGCGGCTGTTCCGTGATAGACTCGGGCTCCCCCGCGACCCCGAACTGGATTAAGCAGTTAGAAAACACATGGATGTCTTATTTTTAACAGCATTTACACATCCTCATCTTTTAACTATGATAATCTGTAGATATTTTACGGCCGGCTGAATTTATTATAATTGTTTTGGCTTGTTAGGGACTGATCAATTTGTTTGCTCACTTGTTTGCACATAAATATACAGTAAATTCTTCTTTTCCTGCTTTGCACCCCAGTCTGGAATCATCATTGCTGGAACATACAATGTTGTTCAAAAGTAAAAGCTGCCCACGTGGCCCGCATTTTCACACATTGTCACTTGCTCATTTCCAGCTGTAAGGCCTTGCTCACAATTTTCTAACACACATTCACAGTCCCACTACATTCATCCTGGCATCACAGGACCTGCAGCTACTAGCCAGCGCTAAGCACCCAGTTCAGAGACAGGACAGTTTGTGAAGATATAAAATCAGAAACTATAGCACAAAGCAAGTGGATAAAGCATGTAGTGTGATCACAGGTATGAGATTTGTGGGTGCAAATAGTTGCAGTTTGTAAAAGGGGAAACACAAATAAAAAGTTTTATATTTGCAGTTTATATTTGTTAATGTACAAGCAGTGAGACTGGCGAACACATTTAGCCATCCCCCTCGGACCACACCTACACCATCACCATCTACCTCATTGTAATTTATTTATTGTACGTCTCCAGTCATTGTTTACACGTCTGTATTGTTTACATTCAAACTGTCTGCATGTTTACTTGCACATTGTCTATTGTTTGTTTGTACATTGTCTTGATGCACTGTTTGCACTTTGTTTTGTTTTTTACACTTGTTTTACAATCGAGAGACTTTCTGTAAGTAAGAATTCCATTGTACCAGTACCGGTTACATATGGCAATAAAGTTCAAGTTCAAGTTCAAGTACAAAGTGTGTGAAACTTTAAAGTTTAAAGTCTGGAAGAAGTTCCTGAAAAATGTGTAGATATCAGAATGTGTCAAATACCTGAATGTCAATCAATACCATTTTATTAATTATTAATTGCAAAGTTTTCCATGTTAAGTGGGTCACATATGGAAGATTCTTCTCACCAGGAGAATCCATAACTGAGACAGAAAGCATGGCGCCTACAGCCTGTGCTTGCAGGAGGACAGACAGCTCAGTGTCGCAGCATCGTGGCCAGATCATGGCCTGTGAGACTGCTTCACAGTCCTGGGAGTTCTGTCAGCTGAGATGACCCCACCAAACAATATGAAAAATATAGGTCTTTATAGGTGAGCGATCTGTTCCCAGGGTACGCGTTCCACACCCCAGACCCAGCTGCCGGTACCTGTTCTCTTCCGTGTCCAGGTTTCAACCTCCTTGACGAGTTCCGGGTGTCCGAGTCATCGGGAGTGACTGCGGTGGAGGGGTCAGAGCCCGACGTGTTGGCTTTCCGTGTCAATCCTTCCATCCAGCTGAAAAAAACAATGCGGTAATTTATTTTAATAATAGACATGGAAATTATATAGTGCTACTGCCCACTACATGACAAACAATTGAATTTATTTAACATTTAAAATGTTAATTGATATGCACATGCTCATTTAATCACATTGAATTGTTAGCACCAACCACTAGATTTCCTCATTTAAGCATGTGCTGTGCAGTTGATATTAATATTAATATCCAGTGCAGTTTGGCCTCTTTATCTTATACTGAATCATAATTTTCTGTGAACAAAAATGTAAGGAAGTGATTTGTTTAGAAGGGTCTGTTTATCTTGTACAAATTTTGTCACCATGTTACAAAATCCATGTACTGTAACTGCAATGAAATCAGTTAGGGGTGCAGTGGTTAGCATTGCTGTCTCAATTGGCTTTTGGGAAAACTGGCCCTGGAGTGAGCGCGTGAGTCTGTGTGTGCCCTGCGATGGACTGGTGTCCTGACCAGGGTGTACCCTGCCCTGCGCCTATTGCTTGCAGCCCTGTATTGGATAAAGAGGTTAAGAAATAGATGGATGGAAATGAGCTACAGTATTTGGTCCAAACAGTCTCCCCTTGTTTGTAACCATTCTTTTGGTTTTGAAAATATCTGGCCTGGAGATTGCACATTCAGATTTGCCTGTATGGAGGAGTGTTGTTTTCCCTAAGTGATGTCTCTCTCAAACCACTGCTTGTGAGTCCTGCAGGTGGGTGTGGCACTGTGGTAGCTGTAGTGGGTCCCCTCCAATGTGCTCTGGGATCCTCTGGGCATGAAATGCACTATACAAGTGGAAATAATTATTTTGAAAGCTCAAGTCTTCACTGGAAATCCCTCTGAAACTCTGAAAATCGAAGAAGTTCATTCTTCACGTCTAATGGCCAATAGCTCATTGATCCAATCCATCCACCCTCCAGAAAGCTCTTATAACAAGCTCCCACACCCTGGTATTCACACCATGACTTGATAGGAATCCTCGTATTTCTGAATTTAAAACGCACAGATCCTACACATATTTTCTTTTTTATGTTGTTTTATGTATCTTCTATGTTGATTTTATAGTGATGTGTATCCAGATGGCTTGCCCTCAGATTACTCCATCATAACCACATTTAAGTTACTAGACGACACACCGAATAGTGCCTGGAATTTATGGCAAGTCAGCGATCCGGATGGGAAGGAACAAGTCGGTATTCGTTTCCTGGGAGACACCAGATCTCTGGACTTCTTTTATGCCACCCCTCACAAAACACAAATGCTGAGAACGTTCCACAATGTGGAAAAACTCTTTGACGGCTCCTGGCACAAGCTGGCACTCAGTATCAAAGGGGATCAAGTGAAACTGCTCATTGACTGCCAGGAAGTCACGATTATTTCAATCGATGAGCAGCGTCCAGTGATCAAAAATGGGTACACTTCCATTGTAAAAAGAGCTGTAGGAGACTCGTCTGTTTCTGTAAGTATTGCACCTTAAAATCTTACTTTAATGTCCTGTATCTATCGCTGTACTAAGAATTGTAAGTTTATGTTGCTACACGAGCTGCAGCGAGCTCATTTTGTGCATCCTGTGAATGCCAGGTGGACCTCCAGCAGATGGAACTTTATTGTGATCCTGATCAGGCCTATGCTGAAGGATGCTGCGAGCTTTCTAATGTTGTAAGTACACTGTACTTGGTGTAAAGGTGCTAGTACCTGCATTCTGTGGATACTTCAGGTGAAGCTGTGAGATAATTGTTTCCACATCTCGATGGCTTTTTCAGTGTGGAGGACACGCCGAGATCGGGCTGACGGGCAGCCCCAATCCATGCAGGTGTGCTCACGGCCAGCCAGGTGTGCAGGGGCCTCCCGGACCCAAGGTTGGCAATTCTGTCGCTCATCGAGCAGCTCAGTAGCAGTGCTTTTCACAGCAACGTGGCTTCAAACTCAGTCTCTGTCTCCATTGGCAGGGGCACAGAGGTCTCAGAGGAAACCAGGGCGAGGCTGGAAGAGTGGGAAACATGGTAACGGCTTCTCTCGCACAATTCAAACTCAACACTGCTGAGCTTTGTTTTCCTGATCTTCGTAGCTGGAAATGTAGTTGGCGCTGTAACCAGAACCACAAACTTGACAGAATATCCAAATTGGTCTAACTCAAAAGTCCTCTTGGAGCAGATGGGTAATTATAAATCACAAGCAAAGAGTTAACTTGAGACATTTCTGGAAATGTGGATGGGAAATGTTCTTCCAGAACAACGATGTTGTGGCAATGTTAAATGAAAGAGCTGAAGGAAATGATGCTGAAAATAAATAATGCTGAAAATAATTTGGAGAGGATTTGGATCAAAGGTAGAACATTTTTTCTGATATGTATATTTAATTGTGAGTTTCAGATAATTTTAGCAATGTTCTATTTTCTATACAACTGTCTCCCCTCACTGTCTACAATAAATTTTAATACAGTAGTGTGCCCACAACCATAATAACAGAAACTATAATCTAGCTATTTAAAACTAAACCCAAATAAACCAGTGTGGTATAATGGATAACATTAACACCTGCAAACTGCTTATTTGTGGATTTAGTCTGCACCACTATTTAAGAGTGATAATTTGAGATGATAAAAAAATCAAGTATCAAGTACTCAGCTCTTAAAAAAAACTACTCAAGTTTTTCAATGTCTTGAAGTGAATATGCCCAGGCCAGATATTCATCTTTATCTGCAGACAGTAAGGTTACAGCCTCTTCAAGGTTCAATTGCTTTGTTTGAAATGAACTGTTTGAGTCTACAAAAGGCTTTCTAATAATAGTTAATGCAGAAGAAAAGGCTCTTACGGGTGTAATTGTTTTTACTCATATGCAATTGGTATTTCTTTACACACTTTCTTTAAACCTTGGAATAACCAGCTGTGTGAGTTGATGCTAAAATGTTAGTAGCATTTGGAAAATGGAGTCCATCACATTTATTTAAAATAGTTCAATCTTGTACCAAAACAGAATGATAGGTCTTTATATAACTGCAGGTAAGGTAGTGTAAAATAGATACTGGTTTCGCAAAGCCACCCATAGTTCAGTTGCCAAGTCGTGGGATGAGCGTTTCCTTTTCAATATACTTTATCAGACTTTATAAAGACTATTAGTCTAGGCTGTCGAAATCTGGCTGCTTCAATGCAGCAATGTCTTGGTCCTGTTTACAGGCTACAAACACACATCTCTCCAGTAGAGGGCTACAATCACCAATTTACTGATTTCATCCATCTACACTTTACAAAAGTATAACTGTAAGACTGGATAAAATAATTATTAAATATAATTTGAGAGTTTAATCTATTTGGTGTTTAAATGTGCCCCCTAAGAACGTTATCTTAATCATAACACAAAGAATTCAACTTTAATACTATATACTAGCATTTGTTCTGCATGAAATCATAATCCAGTAGTCAGATTAATCTACATTTATCTTTTAAATCAGTTCTCAAACCTACACTCAGTGGCCATAATTAGGACCCAAATTAGACAGACAATACTTTTAAGATGGACTGGGCAGAAACAAGGCGTAAAATATATAAATCGCACACTAAACAGTGTGAAAATATGAATATATAATACTGGATCTATTGTTTGTTGAGCATGCTCTGGAAAGCACTGATTTCTCTGTTGTCAGCAGATGAGCTTGTGTGTCTTTCCAGGGTGGCCGAGGAGACCCCGGTGCTTACGGCCTCATTGGGGAGACTGGAGCTAAAGTAAGTGCGCCCGCGCTGTGACCCCTCTAGAGACAAGCCACGGCAGTGTTTTCAAACCACCCTGAAGTGCCCTGACCTCTGTTCCTGCAGGGAGTCGCTGGAAGAAAAGGAGAAAAGGGAATGAGAGGACTCCACGGCCAAGTGGTAACTGGACCTGCGCAGTAGGTGGAAATACTTCATTGCCTTAGTGCCAGATATTGGTAATAACCCGTCTGTCTTATAGGGTGACAGAGGGCCCAAAGGTCTCAAAGGGTTAAAAGGCGCACTAGGATTCAAGGTGAGCATGCGACTCTTTTTTTTTTGCAGTTGCTAGAATAAAATATTTGCATCCTCATGATCTTGTACATGCTGGGATCAATAGCTATAAATACCAACCCTGCTTGGTACTTTTAGAGTTCATTGCATCCTGAGTGATATGTTGTTAAATTCTGTGTCATCCAATTTATTACAATTTCCCATTTCTGCTAAACTCCTCAAAACATGCAGATCTTAAGAGGGAACACAAGCCTTGTTGCTAAACTGACATACAGGAGTAGTCATGATTATGAAACTGGATTATGATTAGTTATGATTTAAAACCAATTATTAAAATTTAAAAAAACAACACAATTCAGAGCCAACACAAGAACATTATTACTATATTTGATGCCATAAAGAGAAGGAATATGGAATTAAAGGATTTGTAGTTAAAAGGTAGCTATTTCTGACAATTATTTTAAATGCCCCTATTTTCACAAGATCTTAATTCTAGTGCAGTGAAGCACATGAAAGACAGGAAACCTGAGCAGGAATTTGATACACTACATAATAAAGCACTTTCTAATAGTTTTCATGTGTGTGGGAGTTTAAGTTCTCTACACCATGCCTCATGCTTGAGAAAATGAAGGTCTGTACTCACACGTCTCATCCACTGTATATGGAGGACAGATCTAAAACACCACAATCCAAGTGTAATTCCCTTGAGGACTTGGAACTTTTGGATGTTACACTTCATCACAAAAGGGATGGACATTTTAGAAAAGCCACTCTGTGTATGAGAACTTAATATAATATTTTTATTCCACTGTGAATAAACCAGTCCCACCAATCACTTAGGAAGTGTCCAGTTGAGCTCAAAGTGACAGAGAACTAACTTCGGCAGCTGCAGTTATGTCCAAGAAGGTCTTCATGGAGTTCCTGGGCTTCCTAATGATGTCATTGACCAGCCTGTGACAGCTGAGACCGCCCAGCTCTGCTTCTGTGGCGTGGGGGTGTAAGACAGTGGGAAGGGTGTTGTTCAGTCTGTACTGATTGGTTGTTGACCCCTACAGGGAGTGAGGGGAGCCCCTGGAGACAGAGGACAGACAGGAGAGCAGGGGGAAGTGGTATGTTTTATGTTTTTCTCACTACAGGGCCTCAACACAAGACCCAATGTTCTTAATGCACATACTGTTTGAAAGTTGATAGCGGAAGTAAAATGACCATTTTGGCTTAAGAGCATTTCTCTTGATGGATAAATAAAAGATCAAATTGTTTTACAGTTTGCAACATAAGAGTGGAGCAGGATGGTGCCGGAACAGTTGGCACTTGCTACCTGAGGGCTTTTTGTTTCTGGGTTTGTTTCTGGGCTGGGACATCTTCTGTGTGGAATTTGCATGTCCTATCGAGTTCATGTGGGTTTTCGCTGCTTTGAGCTGCCCCCACCATGGAAAGGCATCCGGGCCAGATTAACTGATGTGTCTTAACCTGTCCCTGTGATGGACTGGAACCCTGTCCAGGACTGGTCACCAACTTGTGCTCTATGCTTCAAGGATAGTCCCTAGATTCATCAGAAATGAGCAATTTTATTCCTGGTACGCAATAAACATACCAGGGATGAGCAGTTTTATGATAAAGGATGAATTATCATCTTGAAATGTGAAATTACATTATGAAGGTGACCACAGTCCCTTTCTTCTATAAATGCAGATACAATAGAAACATGTAGATATAATTATATCAGTAAAAATAAAAGGGTAAGAAAATATAAATGTTTGTCCATTAGGCTTAAGTATAAATATCTACTATCACACTATAACAGATGAAAATAGAAAGAAAAACCCAAAACTATTGTAAAATGTGTTTTCAGTATATCACATTCACATTGTCATGGTGCAGTAATGAATGCAAGTCTGAAATTAAAACTTAATTTGTAATAAAGGGTGATCCAGGTGACCCAGGATTTGAAGGAATTCCAGGATTTCAAGGATCTAAGGTAAACTTGCTGTACAGTTTAGTACAACATTTGTTTTTTACCAGAGGTTTACATTCCTGGAAATGCCTGAAAATGCTGAAAACAATGGGGAACTTGTAGAATATTACGAATTAAAAGATCTGTAAGACACAAGCAATAGCATAATGATCAAATGAAGTACTTTTCCCGCACATAGCTGCTGTGTATTCATCATTGCATGCAGAATGAGTACCCCAGACTCTAAATATCTAGACTCCCGGGAGGAATCGCTTGCAGATTAAAAAGCACTTTGCCCCTGGATCAAGAGCAGATCTCAGCCAACAGCTGAGAAGACAGTGTAACACTGGGCTCTGCAGAGAGATCCGTGCACAGAGCGGACATTTGATACAGGAAAGGGAAGGACTTCTTATCATCGTCTCCTTCTTTTCCCATTTTCTCGTCCTTCCTGCAGGGAGAAGAGGGATTCTCAGGAGCTGAAGGCCCACCTGGGCATCAAGGCCGCCAGGTAAAGTTGTGCAAACCAGATCCACTTCCCAGTGAAGAGTTTGAAAAACATAACGAATTTCTCACATTTCAGAGAAAACCTACAGTACATCACATCGAGAATGTCAGTAGATAACAGATAGGTAAGCAGATTCTTGTAAATAGCTTGGGATAAACCCACCCTGATCTTATATACAAACAATGTCACACAGTAAGTCACCATTCAGTGGGAATTTGTAGACAGTGCTGTGATGTGTTTGTGGATAGCAAGCGCTAAGATTATTGCCAGTTCCGGTTACAAAACACAGTCAAGTGACGGCAGTGTTGCCACATTATAGCCCGATCGTGTCAGATCACAGAAGCTACACAAGGCCAGGCCTTGTCGGTGCTGGAACGGGAGACCTTCAAGGAAACCAGGCTCCTACACTAAGCTATAGGACTCGCCATCTTTCAGACAAGATGTTCAGCTAAGGTCTTCACTATCTGGTCATTAATGTTCCCGTGGCTCTGTTTTTTATTTATGGTTTGTGCAATCTGGTCTGATGGTATTATTTAACAGAAGGTTTGGAGGAGTTCAAATTCAAATCTCCCGTTCCCATTCGCCTATGTATAAACACGTACTGTCTCCCCACAACTCTGTACCCCTCCCTCCAGCGCCACCGCAAGTTCGCTGCAGCTCCCTGGTTCAGGGGTCGTGTCACCACCGACCTTGGGCCCCTGCGCTCGTTTCCTCGGCCAGGCGAGAGTCAGTGCCAGAGTTCTGGGCACACTACCCCCTCATATCCGTCCGCTCATTCTGTCATTAAGAAAATTACACTGAGCTACTTAACTTAAAGTTCCCCCCTTCGTTCGCCCGGTGAGCACGTTTCTCTCTCCTTCACCTGGTCTGGGCGGCAGCAGAGCTGCAGGCGCTCAGTGGCTCAAGCAGGTCGCTCAGACGGGGCTGAAGGCAACCAGAGCACTGGGGCCGTTCCTGTTTGTGAGGAAAAAGCACAATATATGAGCAATTCATTCTTCTATACCGGGAGAACGTATTTATGAACTGTGAACCTTGAGTATGATCTTCTGAGATAGATTTATGATGCAATTCTAAAGGATCAACTCAAGTTCCAGTGCCTGGTCTCTGGCAGACAAATACTGGTGCCGAATTAGAAATGGAGAGCCAGGGATGCCAAAGCACAGCAGATAAGGATTACTCTCCCGGAGGACAGTAACCTCAAGCAAACACAAGTGTGAGCATCATTAAATCTAAAACCATAAGGTTTTAAATAAGGAGAAATTTAAAGAAAACTGTTTTTCCACTGTAAAAACTTGTGTCTGTTAAATGTATGTTTATTAATACTTATCATAAGTTGTGTATGAATTATGGATGCAGTATAAATTGTATGCTTTCCCAAGGATCACAGAACCACAGTAATAAAATAGTTAAAAGTACAGACATACCAAATACTGTAATACAAGCTATGACTGCTGACAGGAAATTAAACCATAAAATCCAAGCAATCCAGTATGGGTAATGTTCCTGAATAACCATTCAGAACATAGCAATAAATATTTTGCTTTTTAAAATTTTTTAGCGTAAATGTAAAAAGAAAATTAAAAGAACAAGAACCCAGATAAAAATCTTATTTGCTGTTGTGTCCCACTCGGATGCTGAGGACAGCGGAAGCCTGTAAAAGTCAGTACGAAGATCAAAGTGTTGGGTACTTTCCAAACCATAAGTAGGTCTTAATCATTTGGTAAATGAAAGTTATCAATAAATCAGTGAAACACAAAACACTGAGATGTATTTCAGCATGACAAGAAAACTAAATCTTCATGGGCAAACCCTAATGTCAGAAATACAAAAAAAATGTAAAATATAACTCTTTAGCTGCAAGCCTTAAGAATAAGCATATGTCAAAATAAATCCTTTGATATATTATTTTAGATCTTTAACTGTGATGAATGAATCTTGCCTCTAGTTTCTGGAAGGAAGGATGCATTTGACCAACAGCAGTGATGAATGGAAAAAGAATGGAATGCTTCCTCAGTTGTCTGACTTTTACGTCTGATTATTTATTAAATGATTTAGGGAGGAACCTGATTTTATATTATTGTCTTTGTGCATAATGATAATTTTCTGTTCTTCCGACATCTAGAGCAAATAAATTACTGACCTAAAATAGTAACAAAATATTTACAAAAAAGTAACAAGAGTTTTTTTTTGTAGAAAACCCAGAAAAACAAAGTACTGGATGATGACAGTGAGAGAAAATTTATATAATTTACTGAATGGCTTTACAAATGCAACACATAATATTGGATCCAGTATTAGTTTGGCTGCTTTTATTGCCTTTCAGTATATGTTGTTTTTTCCTTAGTGTAAAGTAAACCAAATGATGAATAAACCATTGATGTCATGTTGTGACCTTTATAACTGTACCTGCAACTTTACTTCCAGCTCTTTTTTATGCAATTTCTGCAAACATTTTTCTGAAAATATTCTCTGCTGGGAATGATCCCATTTGATAGTTATGATAGATAAAAAAGAGTAGCAGTGTGAACCTTGGCTACTCACCTTTGTCTTTGAAACCTTTGCTTTATCACAAGGAAATTTCTGTCATCTTGAGGAAAGTCTCAATGTTTTTGTTTTTTTCTGATAGGGTATTGTTGGAGATCCTGGTGAGCGTGGAGCTCCAGGACTTAAAGGAAAGCCTGTAAGTATGTAATCTGCTAAGCTTTCACAGCTTCAGCATTTGTATGGAATAAGCCATAAAAGTCTACAGCTGTTACCCTCAAGTTATATGACTGAGGTATCCATTTATATTAACTAGAATGATATAGATTTATAACTGTACTGACCAATGACATTCACAGACCTACAGTAGGTTTTCTAGTTCTTGCTAATATATCTGGAAAAGTGGTGTGCAGTGACCTAAATAAATCTCACTGTTTGCTGTAGCTATCCTGCCTAAACATGGATGCCAAGACCTGAAGGCTTCACTTAAAACACTTTTTTTAAGTTACTGAATATTTTTTATAAAACCATTCAAATTAAGGAACTGAGAGGAAGTTCAAATGTGAAATTCCCTATTTCTGGTTCCTTGAATGAGATAAGCTACATGCCAATGCAAGACCTATCCCTGTTGGTGGCTGTGGAACTCAGGGAGACTCTAGAAACAGCTGTGCTCCCTGAAACTTGGAAGTAGTGACCATGCACACTGTGGAACCCCAGTCCCTCCTGAGCATGTACAGTACAGGAGGAAATAAACTTGGTGTTGCCTTAGTTCTTGCAGGATTGACACTTCTGCTGGTAAAGTTGTTCAAGTGCAAAGATCAAAATGGAGCCCTGCACTGTAGACAGCAGTAAAACTGATGTCTGATATTTCCTCACATGACTTTTTATGGAAATAAGCGTTTCGTGTAAAAAGAATGTAATCAATTGAAATTGTATTATGCTTTCATTTTAACATCAGGGTGTTCAAGGACTGCAGGGAAAGAGAGGTGATATTGGAATAAAGGTAAGTCTGTTTGTCCTAGCATTCACAGTGGCTTACAAGGGCTACAGTCAAATTAGACAGTGTATTATATTACACAGAATTTATATTATAATATTATTATTACTAATTGTTATTATAATAAATTATAATACTGTAAATACTCTTTCAACTACCCTTTGAAAGACAATAGCTAGACTGTTGAAGCCGTATACAGTACAGTTTTTATGTCCTTTGCATTTGTAGGGGATCATTGGAGATCCAGGCTTGCCTGGCAGAGATGGGGACCCTGGGGTGGAGGTAGGACTATTGATTTCAAGATGATCGTGCTCGTTCGTCCTTCACGTGGCCTTCTGCACAACCGACTGACTGAAATGTCTTCTTGCCCAGGCCTATCAGGGACTGCAGGGCCAAGCAGGACGAGCTGGCCAGGAGGGAGAAATGGTAGGAAACACGACATCTTCGTGGAACTACTGTGTTCAGATAGCGTGTTCAGATATCCTGTGGCCCCTACATCCACAGCTCAGAACAAGGTGTTTTGTTTTCAAAGGGAGAGAAGGGTGCAGCAGGACCAGTTGGGAGTGAAGGTCCGCGTGGAATGACTGTAAGTTGCTTCTCCACAATCGTTTTGTAGCGGAGGTGTGGGCTTTCTTAAATGTTATAATTTGAGCGTGTGGTCCTAATTCACATATCATATTGAATATAATATTAATTATCCTCTCTGCCTTTTTTCCTCCTATGGGATAAAAGGTCTAATGACATTGACTTCTAATTGGTTTCCAGGAGGTGCTTTGCTAATTTCTCAATGATGCTTCTGCAGGGTCCAAGGGGTTATAAGGGCTCTGCTGCACAGCCGGGAAGACCTGGGTTTATTGGCCCACCTGGAGCAACTGTAAGAGTTCCTGATAAATATTCCAAAAAAGTCCTTGAAATACATGTTAATTCTGTTTTTGTGTGCTGGCTTGAGCATTAAAGCGTGTCATTTCTCCATAGGGTCATGTGGGACTACCAGGAAGGCAGGGTCCTCAGGTAAATCAAATAATTTTCATCTTTGCTTACCACATTACTCAGGTCCTCAGAACACAAATTCACTTAAACTGTGTGTTATGGATTCCACATCATTGTTGAAGAACAGTATTAGCTTTGAAAGCAGTTAATGTGCACAATATTTAAAATCATGCAGTTTCACACAGACCATGGGTCTTCAGATTCACATGGACAAACTCACTTCATATGTAAGATTTCTGTCCTGTCACCGACCTGACCTTGACCCCCGAAACAAAAACACAGTGCTCTGTCTCTAGGTGTAGCTCTAGAATATACAGTACCAGAAAGGTGAACCACTGGTCACTTCCCTGTCAAGCCACTTTGGAAATGCATGACTCACTCACACACAGCACTGATTCTTCAGAATAAACTGAGATTTTTCCTGAGGTTACTGTAAATAAACCACAGTAACCCTTTTCCACAAATTGCGTTTTCCACTGTTGAGGTGGGTACTAAATATCTTTCAAACATAAACAGAAGAGATATGTTTATTCCTTTTTATTTAATTGAAGTTGCTTCCTACCCCAACTATAGTTATATACAAACTCCAGCCATGTTTCCTCTCAGCTGGTGTTGTGGCTTGAGGTGTTTTTTGAATGAAATCCAGCAGTGGTGGTCAAAACACTGCTCTTTTTTCTCTTCTAGAGCTTAAAAAGGACACAATATTAGACAAGAGTAAATTATTTGGGCTTACATTCTTCTTGGGCTGCATATTTGTTAATGTGCATAGGGATAACTTTGCAGTTCAATGTTTAAAAACACTGTACAAATGAAATATTCTGTACTGAAATGTCCTGTGACCAGTTTTACGAAACGTTCTTAAAAACAAAATGCCACATTTACACCCAAGCACACCTAGTGCCATTTCTTGAAAATGTTCAAGGTACAAAGTAAACTTTAGGTGCCATGCATTTGAAATGTCCTACAGATGCATGGTCCTTACATTTTGGCTGTGTGTCAAAGATAAACACCAAATCAGTTATTGCAGTCTAGGCCCTAGGCATCTCTTCACCCACGAAAATAAGAAACTTAGGTTTTTCAAGTTCTCCTATACACGATTGTAGGGATGGCTCGCTATGTGAACAGTTATTCTTGTGGAGTAATGAGGGCTGGACAATTGGCTTCACTTGCGTTTTCTGGCACATTAATATTACACCCAGCAATGATGAATGATAATTCAGGAAAAATTTGATATCGATATCAAATTTCCGGGATTCATGTACTGTACATCTCTTTGTCTGTCTTTGTCTATCCAGATTGACATAGAGGGGGAATAATCTCATTAGAAACAAATCCCATTCATTTTGAAGAATACAATATTTTAAAAATAAGTTGACATAGATACTATCTCATTACCAAGACAGACACATGGAGGCTATTTGGCCCATATACAGTAGTCTTTGTGATAGTAGGTAATAGATCCAACAGCCAGAATTTCTTTCAGCCTTCTCCTGAAAGAAACCAGGGTATTGGCTTCGACATCATACCTGGGTATTTTGTTCCATACTCCCACAACCCTAATAAGTAATATTATTAAGCACACATGTAGCTGAGGGGTTTGATTACAGTGATTTGCTGTTTACAGTAAGAATCTGAGCTGAATAATTTGACTCTTCAATTAAGAACACCGGCAGTGTGGAATTTACGTGCCAAAAGGCAATGAAATGTCATGCTAAGTACAAATTCATCCACTTATTCTTTGAAAGTGATACAATTTTAAAATAATAAAAAAAGATATCTAAAGATATCAGAAACATGTACTCTACATGCCAATGATTTCAGCTGCATTGGACACTCAGTTTTGATGCGGGTAACCTGAAACGGACACACTCCAGAGAAAAGGTGGAAAAAACACTCAGACATGATGAACTTGTTCACCTCTCGCTCGTGGGAAAATGGCATCGCAACTTCCTGAAACCACTTAAAAGCTAAAAGGGTTATAGAAGATTGTTCTCCATTATTAATTCAATCATTTGTTTTTTTCTTAAAGGGTGACACAGGTATTCAGGGAATCCAAGGAGTTAAAGGTGAAAAGGTACGACAAATTAATCAAATATCCGCATTCGTTTAACTCGCTTCTGTAATTCGTGCTGTAAAATATTCTTTTTTTTTTTTTAAGGGGCAAAAAGGAGTCTATGGACCAAGGGGAGAAGTGAGTATCGGCCCACGCCCCCGGGAGATGAGCACTGCTCATTGTTCTGACAGACATGCCTAGTTCGACCTGCTTGCTTGTAATTACGTGATCCTATCTGCACACACTGTAGCCCTGCTTCTTTGAAAGATGATGAATAAAAGCCTCATGCAGGCTGCTGTGTCTTCAGGTTGGAGACAAGGGCCCCCCTGGACCCCCAGGGCAACAGGGGAAAAGAGGCGCAGCGGGTGAGCCGGGGCGTGCAGGGCCCGCTGGGAACAAAGGTGTCCGTGGAGACGGAGGAGTCGTGGGATTCCAGGGGCCTCCTGGACCACCAGTGAGTAAGGCTGGAGATGGCAAACGCTACACTTAAAGCTTAGTCTTTAACCTGAGCGTCATGGATACAGGGACTGCCTCTGCTCCAACAGCTGAATCCCTTGACACACGTCCATCCATTTTCACATCTCATCCTGCAAGAATTACCCGCTCGATGCAAGAGCTCTTACAGACAGATGCTGACTACCTTTCTACTCCAGTGAGGTTTGGATCAGGCTCTGAACCCTGCTCCCCAGTCCTCCCCAGTCCTGTGAGACACCTCTCGTCCCTACATTGCACTCTGTATCCATTACAAGGAAGCAGGGAGAAATGTGATGTGCTAGTGGGATATAATAAAAGTTTTGCTCCTCTTTTGGGCATTGTGCTTCTTAAAAGGAATAAATAACAAACATAGACTACAGCTGGATTGGATACAGTATTGGATTAATAAATGAAGGCTGTAAAGATTCAATATGAGATGTTCTGTGCTGAACCAAAGCTGATATCATTAAGGTGTCTAAAGTCTTTAACTTATTTGGCGTTTTATTAAAGATTCAATTGAGATCACTGTGGCACCAACTTCCTCGTACATCACAGCCCAACCTAGAGTAACATTTGCTACCCTCCATCAAATGGAAAAACAGAAAACATAAGACATCAGTCATCTGTTCCAGAAGTATTTTTTTACAACGTACTGTAAGTGCTGCATCTAAGCAACACTTTATTGTGCTTAGTAGACCATGATAAACACTGAGTACTGTGTTCATGTCTTATACAGTTACCATATACTGTAAGAGTGGGCTGTTTCAATTTTAAAGAGTCGTAAAAGTTATGGTCTAAGGAATGCTTGTTGACAGTATGTCATTAGCTTTTCATTTTCTTTGATTTGTGGTGTACTACCATTTTGTTTTATTTATACATTTAGCATAAAATAAACACTCTTGTATAGAAATCTATTTTGTCTTCTTGTTGGCTGATTGTACTCATATTTATATTTTGTCCCTGTGAAGCCAATAATTAGGGTTTGGAAGGACAGGAACACTGAGAGATGCATGTGAATTACCCCAGGATTTCTCCACACTAATGGGTTCTGCCTCTTTTTTTCCCGAAACAGGGGCCGACTTTCCCTGCAGAGAGAGTGATAGAGGTCTGCAGCCGAGTGGTGCTTGAGCAGATGTCCATGTATGCCAACGCTGTGAAGAGGAAGTGTGCCAGTGTGTGCCCGCTGTACGGGGATGTCCCAATGGGACCGCCTGGGCCTCCGGGCCTGAAAGGACCGCCAGGGCCCCCAGTGAGTACGCCAATTTGGGATGGCACAGTGGCATGGCATTTAACGCTTACTGCCTCACAGCTCCCAGGTCCTGGGTTCAGTTGTAGCCAGGGATGCTCTCTCTGCGAGTTTGCAAGTTCTCCCTAAGACTGTGCTGGTTTTCTGGATTCCTCCAATTCCTCCTATATCAGACACATGTCTCTAGGTGATCTGCCTCCTGTACATGTGCTGCCTGTGGTGAACTGCAGGCCCGTTCGGGGTTTACCTGTTGGGTTAGACTCTCATCCCTACATTGCATTAAGGCAGGGGTCTCCAGCCTCAGTCACGGAGAGCTCCGATCCCCTGTATCTCACAGGTCACCTGTTTCGAAAGACTGTGAGCTACTGATGAATAAAGCAAGTCATTTGTTCAGTTAAGAGAACGCTTGGGATGGTGGCGTGCTGGTAATCATTGCTGTCTCGGAATGCTGGGGCCCTGGGTTCAATTCCAGACCTGGGGCTCTCTCTCTACAGGAAGGGTCGTGTTCTTACTGTGTTGTTTTGCCAGAACAGAAGCAAAACAAATTTAGGCCTCAGTAATGTGGCTTAGTCCTCATGCTCTGGGACATGTGGCAAGAAAAAGCAATAAACATCGTTGGGGTTTCTTTCTCAGGCACATACAATGACACAAGAGTTGCAAGAGTTAAAAAATCCAAAATATTTGGCACTGTGGGATGCAATGAAAACTTTCCACAACCCTTGAAAGGCAAACAACGAGCCACAGACAAGATCCTGATTGTTGTGCTGAGTGTTTTTTAGAAAGAGTCAATTGTTCCCTGCTGAAAAGCCCCTTTTCCATGTTCATAGTACAAGCCTGATCTTCACTATCTCCACAAAAACCTCCTAAGACACAAGAAATCTCTGAGCTACAGGCAAATACGAACTGTCTATGGAATCAAAAGCAGAAATGCCAAAGGCAGAAACCAGGCCTCACTTTTCAATTAGTCAAGGCTGCAGAATGTTCACCGCGACTGCCTCAAAGCCTCAGATCTGTCAAAATGCTGTCCATTTTCTGACTGTATAAGCAATATTTTAATTGTAAATAATTCAAAACACTGTGACGTAAACCTTCTAATTATTACATCTACTGTCACATGCAAAAAAGTAAACATCAGACATTCAGAACAATCCAAACACAGCAACTTGTTATAAACATTAGGAAAAATATGCTACAGTATATACACTTGCATTAGCTTATGCATAGAACATAAACTCTGAAACAGGAAAAATGTCCATTCACATCTTCTGATTAATTAATTAAAAAATGTTCTCTTTGGAACCATCTTGATATGAAAGTGATGTGAGTTTTTTCCTTCATTATTTTGCTGTGAAGAGATCGCACACTGCACTGCTCTGAAATACCACTTCTCAGTATCAGCTTTGTGCAACAGTAGCAGACAAACCCAAAATCCCGCAATCGAATGTCACTCCTGAAAGTCAGAGAATAATGTTGCACGTTGTATGTTTATGGATGAAAAGGAGGGTTAAGGCTTAATAATCTGAATCTGAATAATCTTCAACAGGTTTAAACAGGTCTTGTGCTTCAGGGTTTTAGAGGGTTCCAGAGGCATGCATAAATAAATAAGGGTGACCCAAAACTTCCACTATCACCCTGGCTGATGTAAACTGCATCTAAGATGTATGAGGCATCTCCACCCCAATGCACAGCTACAGTGGTTTCAGTGTTACTGTATGTTTATTACTTGTTACTGTATGTTTATTACTATGTCAGGATAAGTCGATGTATGCAGGTGCTTACATTTAGCACCACATCTTTTACACTGCATCATTGGCCTCAGATCCTGACCTTTGAGGTACCCCTGCCTTCAGAGTTCCCCTTTGAAGCACGAGGTACATGACAAGCACTAATTCCTGAGCAGACAGACAGGGTGTGGCCACTCCCCTTGGCTTTTGGAGAGAAAGGAAGCAGGCGGGAACTACGGCACAACTGAATGGTCGAGGAAGCAGTAACACTACACCGGTGTGATGACTTGCAGAGCAATCGGAGTTGCATCCATGTGTTTTGTGTTCTATCTCGAAGGGAAACAAATGGGTCCTGCCTGAGGTGTTGCCTGACATGTTTCCATCCACTCAACCCTTAATAATACAGAACATGCCAGATGGACGCTGGTGGCACGGCTGATTGATTTAGCTCTCTGGCACTGCATGCATCACTAGCTTAACTTGGCAAAGTGACCTTGATCAGACTTTCCTCAGATGGACCAGTTTTTTCCATCTTTCCTTTTCCAGTGGTTGGAAGTCAGTTCTTGACTTTTTACAGCAGTAGGGTCCCCAGTCCTGATCTTGAAAAGCTGGTATGTCTGCAGGTTTCTCTTTAAAGCACCAGCACCTGAATAGCTAGCAGAAGCAGTTAGAAGCACCAGACTGGTAATGAGCTTATGAGCCCAGCTAGGCTGGAAACCTGTCAAAACACCAGACTTCTAGGACCAGCATTAGGGCTTCCTGCTTTATAGGGTACTGTGATCAAACCACCATGTCACCCAATAAACACCAGCAGCAGAAATCTAGCAGAAATCATTCTTGGACCATTGCAAATACAACATGACCCCGGTTATAGTGATCATCTTCAGAGGGATAAATACAAAGGTTTTTGACTTATTTCATGGGCTTTATGTAATTTTATTCATTCAAATGGAAACTGAACTTGGTCATTTCTTCCTTGTTGCGGTTTTCCAGGGTGAACCTGGAATTGATGGTGTTGATGGAGAGATTGGACAGCCAGGTTTCTATGGAGAAGCTGGTAATGCGGGCAAACAAGGAGAACCAGGTCAGACTTTAATACATGAAGCCATGAAAGACCTTTCTTGTTTTGCTAGATTTTTTAGGCAGAAAAAAAATCTTCCGTATTTGCCCAGAAGATGCAAATTCATCCCAGAGACACACAATGAAAATGTATTGCTAATCAAATCTCAACACTGCACTGATTATTCTCCTGTAGACTGTAGCCACACCGACTTTTCAATGGGCTTCCCAGTGAGCTTACATTGTGTTGCCAGCCCTGAATGTGCTTTTAAGTTGATCAATAGGAAATAACTGATATCAAAGCCGTAGGTGGAGTGTTTCATTTAAACACAAGGTGCCAATCAGGGGTACTGAGTGTGGCTGCACAAATGAATATAATGATCTTTTCAGGTGCAGCCTGCTGCCCTGAGGTACAGATTTTCACCACTGTGGGACAGTACGGACTGAAGGCCTTGGAACAGTAAATGGTTTTATTCAACA